ATTGTTCAGGGGGCCGGACCAAATGTGGCGGCGGGCCGGATCCGGCCCGCGGGCCGTAGTTTGGGGACCCCTGCTTTAGAGACTCTAGCTGTGCAGCTCGTTGTTCGTTGTTCGCCTTGCGAAGAAAAGGAATAAAGTTCTACAAGCTTTCATCTGCCTCCTCCTTGTTTGCCACCAGCAGAGCAGAAAACCTTTAAGAGCTCGTTACCAGCAGACGAGCCGAAATAGACTTACTAGGTAACATAAGGCTAACAAGGTCTACGGTTTCTATTGGAATAGCAATGACTAGACAAGCTACAATATCTAGACGGACGTCCACACACCATCATTAGCTTGGACATTACTCCTAAAAAAGCCATTTTCATCTATAGAAAATGTAGATTTCTATTTGAACTGTGAGATTTTGAAAGGATGCCAACAGAGCATGACACAGGACAAATTTCAGAGTCCTGTTTGCTGAACTTCTGTAACTTCCTGTTACCTGCTGAAAGTCTTGCTCTCTCTCACTGCCCCACTGGATGAACCAGACATTTCTCAACATGTCCTTGAAAACAGTTTTCTTTCAAATAGTGTCTTAAATCTCATTGATACTGATATGTGTCTTTTTCCCTCAGCAATGGTGTCCTAACCAGAGAGTATAATCTGGTAATGTTTATTAATCTGTTTTCACGGTTAAGAATTTCCATTCAGACAGTAACTGGTCAGTCCTTAACAAGTGAAAAAGTCATATGATTCCATTATATTCTTATCTACCAATTTGTTGTTTTAAAAAAAACTTGCCTATTTGTTATTTAATTAATCCTGATTAGACTGTCCCAGTATTTAACTTGTGACTCTATGTCCTCCTTTTTGTTAGAAACAGAACATGTATAATTAACCTGTGGCTTTTAATTAAGCAGAAAATACTTTGACTCTCTAAAGCTGCTTGAGTCACTAATGAAAATGCACTGAAGTTGCAAAAGTTGTTTTAAAGCTTATTTTTTCAGGTCTAACACTGCCATGAAGGAGTTACAGCTTTAAAATTAGAATAAAAAACAATTTGGTCTGTACTTGATTTTATTAATAAAACAAGACTGAAAAGTGTTTAACAAAACAATCTGAATGCAAACCATAATTGGAAAGCTGACTTATGCTAATTAAGAAGGTTCAACATCCTTGCATAGATGATGGATAAGGTCTGGTTATGTTATATGCATTGGAATCGGTTTGCCTGCTTGCTCATTACATGAAGACTAAATGTGGGTGGTTGGAGCTTTATGTAGAACAAGATGTAATGGTTTTGGGTTTCTGTGTAATGTAAATGAGACTGTGGAGCAGTTAAGGGAGGTGCCACATTTCAAAGTAAATCAGAGATCTGAGAATCTGTGTGTAATCCGCATTGGCCCCTCCACCTCTCTGGGAATAATGACTCCCAACCCCCTTTTTTTTTTTTTTCCAATAAATTTGGAGGGTTAGTTCGGAGACGTCCTGACAGAAGTCCCTGTCAAAAGGCTGCGAGGAGGTTAATGTAAATGAGAAATGGTCGCGAGTTGATATTCTGTGCTGCCAGCACTTCCACAGATGGCAATCCGTTATCATTACTATTCATCCTTAGGAATTATCATAATTAGCTGAGCTCAGATCTTAATGATTTGGCTGAGAGAATCAGCACATTTTGTGATGGAGCAGGATTATCTCTTGCACTTTGTGCTTGTTTAGGATTAACACTTAGGTTTGTCTTGAATTTTTATTTAGGAGTTTAAGTCAGTGTGCCTTAAACTCCTGTGAAGTATGCAGACGCCTTTTTTATGCCTTTTTTATGATGCTGAATTTTATTTGCTTTATCTGAATGTGTAATTAAATGTCTAAATACCAACTTTTTTGTGTGTAAGCCATGTGTGGCCATGTTTTATGCCATCTTTGTGGTCACTGTCATTGCAGGTTGCTAATTTCTGTAGACTACAGTTATTGATCATGTCTGCCCCCATGCTTCAGTAGAGCTGGCACAAAACACAGCACATGAATAATTAAAAAGCCAGTTAAAAAGATGAATGAGGGGAATAAACCCTCCTTCCGTTGTTAAAACAAGACCAAACAAATGTCTGTATTAGCACATTGAAGCACAAACACGCCCTTCTTTCTGTTTGTGTTGTGAGAATATCTGTGTGCAGATGAGGGTTGGAAGATTGATTCATTTTAGATGTGCAAACCCTGACATTTAATAGAAAATAAATGCACAAAATTGCACATCCTCAACAAGCTCTCAATTTTAAAATTATTTTTGCTGTGAAAATGTTAACGTTCAGCTAATTGCTCCTTGTGTTGTGTTTGTGCCCCTCAGCGCTGCTTACATGTCGACCTGATGAGTTCCAGTGTGGCGATGGCTCCTGTATCCATGGCACCAAACAGTGTAATAAAGTCCACGACTGCCCGGATTACAGCGATGAGGCTGGCTGTGTAAATGGTAACTTATCACATGCATACTTCTTCTTAGTCGGGTACTGAAATGTTTGCTTTAAAATCTAAGTTATGCTGTTTTATTTTTATTTATTTTTTATTCTCTCTAGCTAAACACAAATGCAATATCTCTTTTCATGCAACAAGCTTCAGGATTTCTTCAGTTGTTTGATTCTACTTTATTTACCCTAAACATTTGTCTATTTAATATTTTTAATGAGCTCCACTGGGATATGCAGCACAAACATCTCAGATGGCTTGATAATCTCTAAGAAAGACCACTTAGGAGTATGGACATAAAAATAAAAATCTTTTTGTATTTAGACTAACCAAATATATCCCTGTACTGCAGCACTGTGCAAAACAATAAGACAATATCAGTATTTCACTAACAGACATATGTTGGTTTAGTGGATAACAAGGAGCTAAATGTCACATATTATAAACTTTAAAATGTCTTAAATCCACTGCTGTGTAAAATCCCTGCTACCCATTTTGTCATTTTAAAACCACAAACTTTAATGTAATTTGTTAGGATTTAGTGATTAAAAATAACTCAAAATAACACATAAATGTAGCATGGAAGAAAGACTATATATGGTTGTCACAGTTTTTAAATATATTTTTGTTTCACAAATAATTCAGAAGTCAAGGAATTAGTAAATGAAGTTGGTGTTGGTTACACAATAATTTTTTAGATGTTTTTTATTTAGTTAGTTTTTTTTTTTTTATTGCATCCCGGAAAACTTCAGACAAGTTAGGAATGAGGCTTTGAAAAACTTCAAAGCAAGGTTATGTTATAAAACATCATCAAAAGCTTGTGTTGCACCATCATCAGAAAAGATAGAGAGTGAAACAACTGTAAAAACCCAGGGAATGGCAGCTGTCCGCAGCTAGCCATGTAGAGAATACAGAAGACTTGTCAAAGAAGCTGCTTTAGTGAAACAGGGCTATAATTAAATGTGTGACAAGTGGGAGAAGTAGTTTAGAAAGTTGTCAGTTCAGTTCAGAAATTATTTACGGTCACATGTAAATGTGGCCTTGATCAAGGCACTCAAACACCAAATACATATTTTACATTTTGCTCATTTTTCTGTTTCCAGCTGAGTGAATGTGACTCTACTGTAATAGCACTTTGAGTGGTTGTTATGACTACAAAAACTGTTAAACAAATTTAGTTCATTTAAATTTTCGAAAATAAAAATACAAAGTAACCCCCTGCCCCCCCTTTTTTTTTCCATTTTCTTTCCAGTTACAAAGTGTGACGGACCAAAAAAGTTCCGCTGCAAGAACGGAGAGTGTATCGACAGCAGCAAGGTGTGCGACAATGTAAAAGACTGCAAAGACTGGTCTGATGAGCCAGTGAAAGAGTGCGGTAAGATCATCTCACTTCAAACAGACAAAACCCTGAGATATTCTGAGGCTTATCAGTTTTCACCACCTCAGATGTGCCAGGGTGATATACCTGCAAATGTATGAGCAGTCTAAATTGTGTGGGTGGTCGCTTCTCATGGAAACGGGAGATTCATTCGATCAAGGCTGGGTAAATTAGGACACTTCTCAGCTGTGTGTCGTGATCAAAGAACGGAGAGGCCCTGCTCTCTCTTACTGCAATCTTGAGCAGGAAAACGTGACTGCACTACATTATCTATAAGGAGTCATGCAGATTGTCACTTTGTCACACATAATTACCACATCTTGATCTCTAATCACACATTTCTAATTGGATGCAAAGCAAACAGAGAAGGACAGATGGAACATCCAACCTCATAATGAGATCAATAAAGTTTGTTTGTTTTTTTTTTTATTTAAAAAAATGTAAGGAACCTCCTGTAATTTCAGATTAAGTTATTGTCTTAGAGTGCTTAAAAAAGTGTCTTAAGTTTCTCAGGAAGCTGCACTGTACCATGTTTTCTCTGAAGTGGAGTATGTCGTCATTTTACTGTATGTGAATAGACAATTTTATAACGGCAGGTTGTCTTTCGAGATCACTCTGACCTGTAAGGAGATATGTATATGCTGTTATTATATTACCCAATATCACTGATATTACATACAATTTATTTTCATCACAAATTAATATTTTGAACAATTTCAAGTCTTTACTGCACTGTTTTTATTTTTCATTTTTGTTGAAATGGGCCTTCAAAGCTAAATCCTAGAAATCATTTGTCAGTTTATTACAAACTCCTCCTAAACATCCACAGAACTTTCTGCAAAGTTGCTGTAGTGCTAAACCTTTTTTTTTTTTTTTACTTTTATTCAGCTAATGCCACTCACCTTTTAAAAGCATTTTGAACTAGGAAATGATAGCATGTATGTTCTTGTTAATCTTGTGAGTTTCTCAAATGGTCTTGCTTTGCAGTTTTCTAGTTTTTGCACCATTTTCCACAACACTTTTCCTCTCTTTAATGAGATTTTTTTTAACAATGACATTTTATGGCTTACCCTTACCCTCCTGGGTGTGTCAGTATTTTTGTACAGGGCAACTATAAAACCAGGAATCTTTCCCATGATTGTGTGCCTCATAACATGTCCATAATTCATCACAAAAGTATATTTCAGTTGGTTTTTGCTTTACGGATCCAATGATTATAAGCCAAAATGTATTATAAGTAAATTACTGAAATATATCAGTCTATGTTTAATGAAATTCTTTAATATTTTTTTCACTTTTTGAATTAAATTACTAAAAGTAAAAACAATTCAGTGATATAATTTATTAATCTTCACCTTCATGAATAAAATGAACAGAACAATAGTTTTAGCAAAACTGACAGATTAATTTTTTTTGTGCATTTATTACAGGATGAATTACGACTTTAATTTCACCTAAAGACTATTCTAACCAAGTTTTTAGTCATTCTTGGCTTCTTTCCTCATTGTCTCTCTGTCTCACTCAAAGTCTCTGTCCCTCAGCTGTACCTGTAGCCTTAAGCCTAAATCTTTAATGTAAATCTGTAATGAAGTACCAGCTTCAGCTCTGCAGTGATCTCTCTTGGTTCCCTGGAGGGTGATTGAAAGACAAAGGGACATAAGCGGCGGTGCAGAAACAGACGTAAAACGGTTTGGAAGGGAAAATGGGGAGAATCCAATCAGGTCTTCTTGTAGACAAAAAGAGGAGGAAATGGACAAAAAGAAATGTGGAGGTGCTTGTCTGACTCTTGGCTGTTAAAGTGAAGTGGTACCTGGTTAAGAATGGGTTCTTTAACTGTTCATAACTCCCCAGCTATGAACAAGCTAATAATTGAAGCAAACACAATTTTCTGCCACATTTCTATGGCTTTTAAGCTTACTGGCCTTCTGAATGGAAATTCTGATGTATACAGACACACTTGACAGGGTAGAATTATCTTGACTGGCAGGTTGATTAAAACTATCCACACACACCATCTGGGCCGCTTTGTCTTTCTGTCCAGCGTTTTCTTTGTGTGCTTTGCAGCCTGAATTATTCTGACCAAAAAATCTGCTAGAGTTATTTCATCAATATTCAGCTGCTCTTCACTTCCCTCTGTTCCTCCGCTCACTTGTCCGTCCTTTTTCCTCCATCCCTCCCGCCCCGCCGCTCTTCTCTCCGCAGGCCTGAACGAGTGTGCAGACAACAATGGCGGGTGCTCCCACATCTGCAGAGACCGGAGAATTGGTTATGAGTGTGACTGCCCCTCCGGGTACAAACTCCTGGACAAAAAGACTTGTGGAGGTAAAGAAAGTATTTTATGCAGAATACTGCTGTTTTAATGGCGTGAACCTGGGTGCTTGTCTGAGCTCATCCAGTCAAAATATCATCTAAACCTTTTTAGTCTGTTTTTCATTCCTCTTTTTTTTTTTTTTTTTTTTCTTAAAAAATACCTTCTATATTCAAATTGCTTGTCTATTGTGACCCTTTGATTCTCTGTGTAGGAACCCAGTCTGAATCCTACCTCTCCTCAATTATTCTAATAAAACATGCATAATCCAAAAAGCAGTTTTGCCAATCATATTTTTAACCTCGACCAGTTAGACCTAAAATTAATAATCCCCCACTCTAAATTATGTTTATTATCAAAATACACAAACTAGCAGCTGGAACAAATCAAACTGAATCATGTGATAATATTTCAGGTTTTTTTCTCTAACATACAAACTGCTGCTTTTAATGACTCCAGTCTCAGAATTTGTCGACCCCATTCCGACGAGCATCTTTAATATTTAGGAAAGCACTGTTTTGCAACTCTAAATGTTGCTCACACAAAATTAATATTATTGGGTTTGCTGTTTGCAACAGAGTTTGTCAAATTTCACCATGGATTGGGAATAGATTTCTGCGATATCCATGCCAATATCTTCTTCAAAGTAGGGCTGCTGCTTCTCCACATTAAAGGCAGTCAGTTGAGATGGTTTGAATATCTCATTGGGATCCCCCCTCAGTGTCTTCCCTGGCATCCAGAAGTCACTGAAGGGATTATATATCCCATCATACCTGGGAACGCCTTGGGATCTCCAATATTGAGCTGGAGGATGTCACTTGCGAGGGGAACGTGTGGCTTCCCTCTCCATCTTGTTGCCCCTGAAACCTGATTTTAGATATGTGGAGAAACAATGGCTGGGGTGAATAATTTTCAGCAAGACCTTTAATAAATATTAAAGAATGTTTTGTTAATAAAGACTTGCATTTTCACAAAACAAATTTGAAGGTTTTTCTTTTCTTTGTTGACTGAATTCTAGTGAGATTTTCCAATCCATCTACATGTAAAGAAAACAAACATGAAAGGCAAACTGGAAAATGTCAGTTGTGCTTGTGCTGGGGTGCTTTCAACTAGATGATCTTGTATAGCAATGTCTTTGAGCAGAGCAGATAGAGTGGTGCACAGACAGGGAGGAAGGACAAAGCATCAGGAGGCACAGATGGGCAAGACTATGAGTCTGGGAATTCTCCTGTACACACAGAGATGCAACTGATTTATTAGGTTTTTTTTCTCTGCCTCATCAAAATGATTCTGGTCTTATGGGAAGCTTCACAGCTGCTCACAATATATGAATGAAATTACTCTCCTTTTCAGTCTATCGTTTCCTTTTGCAGCCTAATGTTTGTCTTGTTTCTTACTAAACATATTTTGAACTATTATAAGAAGATTTAACTTAGTTTATTTTTGTTTTTCTTGATCGTCTCTGATTGGTGATGAGCAGGTTAAATAAAGATTTGTTTTTATTCTTTGCATTCAGAATTGGAAAGTTAGACTTCAAGCAAAATCTGAAATTGGTATTGATCAGGAAAAGTGTAATCTGTGAATCTAATAAATTCCTTATACTTTCTAAATAAGCAATATCCTGAAAATATATTACATTGTCTGTAGCTAGTTTATATATATTTTTGCATCAATTTACATTCTCTTTATATTTCTCTTTCCATAGACATAGATGAGTGTGAGAACCCAGATGCCTGCAGTCAGATCTGCATCAATTACAAAGGGGATTATAAATGTGAGTGCTATGAAGGCTACGAAATGGACCCTGCCTCAAAGACCTGCAAAGCTGTGGGTAAGCCAGTTATTCACTCGGGAGAAGGCATACACACTGCCACAGTTTGATGTTCTCACCAAAATCCATTTATGATCCCATATATACTTGAGCAAATTCACACACCAACACTCACCCTTGTATAAACACCAATTACTCATCCATTCCAGCACCCCTAACTACAATGTGACATCCTACACCATTCTCACTCAGCGGGACTCTGAAAAGAGAGGCTTGTTTCGTATGCAGGGCCCGCACAGCAATCTGCTCAAAGATAAATATTTGCCATCCTTTTCTTTACTCCACAATAATGGCAAGTTTGCAGCCAGCCGCTTCTGCTTTCCCTGGGGTGTCAGGAGAAAGATGTTGTGTGGGTAAAGGGTCTGCACTCACTGCAGGACACAGGCAGGGTCTGTAACCCTTATTTGCTGGCAAGAGCTCTCTGAGCAGAGTTATGAATAAAAAATATAATCCTATGCTCTGGAATGGGCTGGACAATGAGAGGGATGCATTTCTTTATCATGAAGTAAAAATGCAGTGGATTTGTTCCCAATAGGTGAGCGCTGAACCAGTTCAATCACTTCTAAACCCCATAACTTTAGAAATGCACTTTTATTTTATTTTTTCAAAATAAAAGCACTGTTCGATTAATTGAGAATTTAGATATTCATGGTTTCTCTTTGAACATGAATCCTGATTTAGATTTCTAATGAGATAAATAATACACTTAATAAATTGATGACAACCTAGTTACTTGTTGAATAGAGTGTATTGAACAGGAGATTTGATCTAAGGTCTAAACGTGTGCGCTGAATATATCAGCAGCAATGCTGCGCTATTGCCAAACTTGAGGGCGAGAATCCAAATAGACAAAGTTATAGCAGACTAGGACCTGAAGTAAGTGACTTATAAATAGAAATGCACTGATCAGATTTGTTGCTGTTTCTAAAACAACAGTCTCATGTACATTCCCAAATCTACATTCATTATGATAAACTGGTTTAAAGCTCAAAAAAATAAAACGGAACAAATGTTATTTACTCAGTTATCCACTGAAAGTCTGACTCTCCCTAACTCACCCAAATAATGAACTGTGGTCATGTGCTGGCATGCGATAGTAAATATTATTATTATATTGAATATATTGCTAAAACATCTTTTTTAGCACAGCCGGCTAAAAGACATGAACAATGCAGGAATGAATAAGCAGTCTAGCAATTTTATGCCTCTGTAGGGCAAATTCTGCTCTATGCGTAATATATTAAACCAAGAAAACATGCTTATTTGTAAGTTCTAGTGTATGAAGATGTGAAAAATGGCTGTTCATGTTAAACACTTGACCACTCTGTTTATATGTTGTAAGTTGGTTTGTTGGTTAACCCATTGCTGTAAAACAATTTTTGGGTACTGATGATCTCTACCAGCTTTGGTCAATTCATGATCGCTGCAAGAAAGTCCAGACATTTTTTTTCCAACACTTCTACCTAACATACACGTTTATTTTTAATAAAGATGTGCTTTATACAGCCATACCTCAAGAAGAATGAAAGAATATCAGAATTTGCATATTCCTGATCAGTACCTTTGAAATGACTTAGACAGCAAATTAACTTTTCAACATGAAATGAGGGAGAAAGCATGTTATTGGTAATTATCGTCTTAGGTTAAGTCATTATAGGGAAAGCTGGTCTGGTAATGAGAGTGCTTAAAGCAGAAAACATATCCTCACTCTGAAGCTAAGTGGCATAAAAACCCCCATTGATTGCTCAGTGTGTCTCTCTGTGTGAATCTTTATTACCGTTAGGCAGAGCAAACAGCTCTTGTTAGAGTCAAAGCTCTATAGCAGCAGAGACGGCAAAAAAAAGCTGGATGGACAAATGATTTCCATGAATATTTCTGTGCCCAATAAACACAACGTTCCGAAGGAGACAAGAAGAGCGAGAGTCTAAAATATGACTGAATTATTGATTGTTCTTCACGTTAACTCCTGTTCAAAGGAAAGCACAGAAGCGGGACAGTAAATACAGAAATGCCAGCTCCGTGAAGCTGAAGTAATGAGGATTTAATGAAGCTCCATTTGTCCGTCACATCATTCCTAGACGCTCGTCCTCAGAAATCAGCATATATATAGCATTTAGTTTCTTCAGACAGAAAGAGATCATAATTCGTACACAAATAAAAGTCTCTCATGATGGAGCAGAATTACACACTGTGATCTGATATGATGTGGGCCAAGTTCCAGTATATTTGAATTTGGGATGCATAAATTCATTTTAAATAGTTCTTAAAATCCAAATAAATCTCCAACTCTGTGTGTTCTTTTATGCAAATCCCAGCATGCAGTTTATGGCTCCCCAGATTAATTTCACAGTAACTGTTAGTCTAGCAATACTAATTAAAAGCAAAGTCTCAGGTCAGAGTCATTATGTGCTTTCTTCTCTGAGCTGGTATTTGTGTTTGGGAGCAATAATTTTGATACATAGCAGCGCCCATTACGTCCCCTGAGCAAAGTTTTATTCCGCACTTATTGCAGTCGGTGTTTTTCCATAAACTTTGAGTGTGCAGCCACTGAACGACTCATCAACTTGCGAAAGACCTCATGTGTGCGTGTGTATGTGTGTTAACAAGAGAATGAGAAAGGATGAGGAGAAGTAAACAGAAATCTTTTTCCTTGTTTGATTACCTGCTGAAAATTCATTAGTTATGAATGAGAAAAATACTGTAAGGTAAAAATCAGTTGCTTTGTGGATTTCTTTTATCCTTTAACAATCTGAGTATTCATACACACGTAAGCAATGAAAGAATTTGAGAGCAAGGGAATGACATTACAAAAGCCTCACTAACAGCACAGTAAAAAAAAAAAACAGAACAGGTTGTTGCAACGTTGCAGAAACCAATCTGTAAACTGTCTGTGGACCAAACAAACCTACTTATTTTATCTTTTGTCTGTGGTGTACTGGGAGCGTTGCCACAGCGCCAGGAGCAGCGTGAGCCACACTTGACAGTTTGAGAACACACTTTTCAAATTGGGTTTAAAGCTGTGGTCAGGTTATTCCCGTGGTGGCTCATGGGACCAAAGATACAACCCGGTGTTGTCAAACTCATCTCACAATTTTTCATCTTTTACTTTACTTTACTTTTATTTTATTTACTTTTTGTCTGCAAAATACTATACATTGTTAATTCTGAAAACTTTTATATCCATATTGACCCTTGACATTGAATGATTTTGTACTTTTTCAAGAGTTTTAACTGTCTCTAAAAGTGATGTCTCACTTTTAGAGAGAAGATTTAACTGTAGCCATGTGATGTTTATATTTTCTGTTTTTGCAACCAAACACCCAATAATTTATACACATGCAGAAACCGCATATGTATATGCAGCTGTTTTGGTTGCCACATTGCACAGTTTTCTAAATTAATGACTTTTCTTCAAAAGCATAAAACCTTTTTTTCAAATTATTATTTTATTACCTTTGGAGAGATGCTCCTCTGCATAGTGGTGCAGTTGATACCACTGTTGCCTTGCAGCGAGAAGGTCTGGGGTTCGATTCCCGGCCCGGTGTCTTGTTTGCACGTTCTCCCTGTGCATGCTTGGGTTTTCTCCAGATACTCCAGCTTCCTCCCACAATCCAAAAACACGACTGTCAGGTTAATTGGTCTCTCTAAATTCTCTTTAGGTGTGAGTGTGTGTGTGCATGGTTGTCTACCTCTGTGTTCCCTACGACAGACTGGTGACCTCTCCAGGGTGACCTCGCTTCTTGCCTGAAATGTCTCGCTGGAGATAGGCACCAGCACCCATCCCGACCCCACTGGGGACAAGGGTGTAAGAAAATGGATGGATGTATGAGATGCCTGCTATCAAAAATTGACTTGTTTGTTAAACAAAAGTTATTTTAAATCTAAATGTTCCAGGGATGTGAATATGATTTTAATCTTGGGATTAAAAGCATTATATTCCTGTTGGTATATAAAAATGCACCAAAGGACACAGAAAAATATCACTTTTTCCTATATTTTTCTCTTTCACTCAACTCATTGTACACTTTTTTTTACCCCTCTACCTACCTGATTGTTGATTTCTCTCTCAACTCATCCCACCTCCACTCTCCCAATTACATCCCCTTACTCCTCAAACCTCTATGACAACACATTCATCCATCACTTTTACTTGTTCCTGTTCGTTTCTTGCTCCGTCTCTATCTCTGTCTCTGTCTCTGTCTCTCTCAGCGGGTGAAATTGATGGTTGCAAACCCACTAGTCACAGGAAAATGATTGCATCCAAACAGTGGTAGAAATGTAATATGTTCTCCCTGTGAAGTAGCGCGTGGTAAGCCTAGGAACAAAACTAAAGCATGGCTCTGTGTGGATGTTTGTGCATGAGTATGGCTGTTTTATAATTTTTTAAAAGGCTTTAAGAGGCACTTCAGCTTCTCTGGACAGGGGGAAGCTTGACAAATAGATGTGTAAAATAAATTAGTTGGTAAATGAGGCTAGAAAGATAAACCTAAAAATTAATGATAAAAAGAAAGTATATGGTCTGTATTTTTATTGACAAAAGATTTTAGTACATCTGGACTTGTATACAATTTCCCATATATGCAAGTTTGGAAATCTACCCTCGGTACCTCATGCAAAGGCTAAAATAATTTCCACATTTTTGTCCACTAAACATGAGGTCCTTTTGTTATGCTCACTTTTAGTCTGTTAAAAAATGTGCCTAAGGGGAACTGGTGTACCAGCTAGCAACTTGAATTATCTGGATCTGAAGAAAAGAGCCCAATAACACACTTGACACATGGCTGAACCAAAAATAAAATGATGTCATGTCTGTGCTGTTGGTGTACTTTAGTCTGAGGCACATTTTGCGTCATTGTTTCATATAACAGCAGGTCACCTGCAGATAAGCCAAGCAACAGCACAGCAATCAGTTTTCTTCTTTACATGGGGGGAATGTTATGGCATGTGGGGAACGACAAATATTTTAATTAATTAGTCTATTTATGATGACCTGACCCTCCTCCCTTCTCTTCAGGAAAGAGCCCTTGCCTGATGTTTACTAATCGTCATGAAATCCGTCGGATTGACCTGCTGAAGAGCGAATACACACAGGTGGTTCCCACCCTGAAGAATGCTGTGGCCCTGGATGTGGACGTCTCCACTAACAAGATGTTCTGGTGTGATCTGTATCATCGCAAAATATACAGGTACAAACAAACATGTGTGCTCAGTCATTGTTGATTTTGGATATGAGTGGTGGTTTCCCAGGGCATCATTAGCAGGGGAGTAAAGGGAGCCTCCGAAAGAATACCCTGGGTTTTGATTGGCTTCAGAAGGCATGGCTGTATTGTCAGTGAATCACTGGTTTTATCCACTGGCAGTTAAGAAATTTGAAGGAATTCCATCTTTACAAACTGTGATCGTTTCTATTGATGTTTGTATCATGGAAGCAGCCATGAAGAGAATAAAATATGCAGCAGTGAAAGGAAAACGTCATGGCCCAGCCATGTTGCTAGTTGTCAAATGTATGTTTAGGGCATCTTTAGCTGCAACTGCTAAGAGTCTGAATAAGAGGAAGCTGAATGATGACACAAAAACAAAGTTTTTGTTGTTTCCTTTTATTGTTGCGTTTTGAAGACATTAATCAGTAAAGAATACTTGGTTCTACTACGGAAACAGGAAATGGGGGCATGGAACAAGGTGCACATCTAAGGCACCATTGGACCTCTACTAGCTCTGTCGGCACACTTCACCGAGTCTGTCACGTCCTGCCCCTTCATCTATCCATCTTGTCTGTTTCAACCTGTCACACCTTCTGCTGGGAAGCTGACACACCTGGAGGGTTGTGTCATCTGCCTGATAGAGGAAGGTGGAGCTGTTTGTCCTTCCTCACACACATGCACACGCATTCCCACACACCTACACATACTTTGTGTCCAGTTGTTAGTTGGTGTAAGTTTGATATTTGGCAGGTGTATGGAGGGGTCTTCTATCATTTCAGCTGAGCCATATGCTTCCTTTAATTTCACTGCTTCAATAATCACCATCATTACTCATCTGTTTGCACACATACACTTTTGCTCACATCAGCTCAGTGATACACTAAAGGGCTTGTGACAGAGGAAGGACAAATTAACTCATTCTTTACAGCAGACTCTATTTTCAAAGCGGTAAATAAACTCATGCATCGTAGCTTCCCTGAAAGGTCTTCAGCTAATGAAGTTGTGCAGTTTAACTTGGCCTTGTTCAAGCTTCTCCTTAAGTCTACCTCATTCTTTCAAAACAAAATGTTTCGCAGCTTGCACTAGGAAGGTCCGAGCCTCGTCTTTAGTCCCGAGTTTGCATCCCGAAGAAAGTTTCATGTTATTCTAATTAGTCTGGAGCCATGTCAGAGAGAACTTTCTACTTTGGTAGCTGTGTTGTAGTACAAATGGCTTTCTAGAGAATACTAGTTTATGAGTTGTCGTTTTTGCAGTTAAAGCATTTTAGAATGAGGTATTCTGCAGTCTTGAATTTGATGAAAATATTTACAGTATTTGCAAGAAATTAAAAAGAAAATAGAGTATGGGGAAATATTTGTATTTACTAACTTTATTCCCCATTCCATTGTCAAAGCATTCATCCATCCAAGTTTATGTCCAGTCATTTACTTGTCCTTTCTTCCTTCCTTTGGTATTTGCAGGGTACATATTTTAAACTTAAGAGTTTTAAAAGTATTTGGTCTTGAAAAATGGATAGGAACCCTTCATTAACAAATAACTTCATCTGGTACCACCTGTTCAGTCAGACATATAAAGAGTAAATATAGCATAATGACTTAGCTAATTGGACTTTGCATCTGTTGGAAAAAAAAGGCAATCTTAAATTAAATCTTAAATAGAAGAAATAGGTTTCAACTATATCATTTAGGCCAAACGCTGTTCTCAATCTCTGTCATTGATCATATTAGTTTCTATTTTGTTTTCTTTTTTGAACACATTATAAATGTAAATGTTTTGACGAGCATTTTCAAAGACGTATACAAAGTTTCCTGTTGCATGAGAATTATTTAATGACGTTTGAACACAGCTGTTTTTGCTCCAGATGATTACAGTTGCAGTGTGTGCCCAGATTTATTTATGTGGTATTACACTAAAATAATATGTAATTTGATGCAATTTTCAGCACAGAATATAGTGTGCAAGAGTATATTTAAGCAAACATTAAGAGTGTTGCATCAAAAAATAAATATGCAGTTTATCCAGCTTGCTGTGTATATTAACATAGGAATTAGCTGGTGAATAAATTTGGCTTCTAACCAAGGGTTGAATGTGTTACTTATGAAAATAAAAAGAGGAGAAGGCTTGAAGCATCCAAGTAGAGGAGAGCAGAATGAGAAAAAATCGGATGAAGTTGGACCCTTTCCCTTTTTATGCATTTTATATAATACTAAAAACATATTCATCCTCTGTTCTTACGTTTTGTCTTTTTTTATCTTAAGTTCCTATTTGAATTGTTGTGATTCAAACAGGTTGGCCAGTTATTTGATAATGTTTTAATTATTCATTCATATTTTTTCCATTTATTTCATATTTTTTCCTCATTTTCCAAAAACTTTTCTTCAGTAAATTTCCTGTTAATTTTACGTGCAAGCTGCTGTCAGTCTGTTTCATCCATTTTTTACACTTGCTTCATTCATGCACGGTCATATTTTGATAATCTTAAATAATTATTTAATTTGTTGAAGTGACAAAGAAAACTAGCATACATTGTATGCATAAAGTTGTATTTACAAATAGTTAAAAATAAAATCAAAATACCAGCTTCGATCGTTGTGTTTTTGGTTCAGTCTGGAGTTTCTTTCTTCCATTCTTCTAACTTTTATCCAAATGAGAAACCAATGTCAGAAAATAATGCATGTTGTTTTTAGGTAATTTAAACATGTATGCTAAAAATATCTAGATATTTGAACACAAATTAATTCTGAGCATTCAGTAAAACCTTTGTATTCTTTTTGAAGTGTTTTTAACGCCTTGGGAAGCATGTGCTGCTTCTCCCCATCACAGTGATGTGGTTTTCCAGACTTTTGCATGCTGATTAGCATTCTGTGGGTCAATGTCTTGTTAACTTCCCCCAGTAATAGAGATGTTGAAAACAATTGTATGGCCAATTAAAGATGCAATCTGCTCTGAGTTCTTAATTTATTGCTTGTTTATTCTGCTCTCCAGTTTGTAGTAACTATTTATGCGCTCGCCCTGTTTCTATGCAGTGTAAAACTGAAATGTAAATATCCAAATGGACATTTATTACACTTTTAGTGCCCTGTAGTCTAAACCTATGTTTCAAATCCAAGACAGGCCAGCACTACATTAATACCTGTAGAGATTTCATCCTCCCCCAATTTTGCTCTAATTTAACCCCAGAGGAACAGACTGTTTGGATTTATGTTTGACATCCTGTAGCATAAAATAATAATAAAAAAAACCCTTAGATTATATGTCATAGTAATGTGGGATCATCCTCTACCATCCCTATCACCATATGCAAAAAATTAGTTGGCAAACAGTAACACAGTCAATGACCTAGACAATCTGCTTCCAAATCCTAGTTTCATCCATCTCCGCCTGATCTTTCACTCCAATTATCCCACCAGCTTTCTCTTTTAGTTAAGATGCTCATCCCACCCAAAAATCTCCTCCTGGTGCCCCTTTGGAAATGTTCCCATGCAGAAACTGAGTTGGAGTGTAGTCTCTTACAGCTATTTCATAAGATTGGCTTAGAATGAGCTGATAATGTGTTTATGTCTTACCCTGTTTCCTTGGTGAAGAACTAAAGCAGGACAAAAAAACATTTTTTTTTTCATATTTTCTACTGATGGAGGCAAATCTAATCTTTCTGTTTGGAGAAGATCTCACACAGAGCTCCTCATATACACAAAAGTTTTCTAGGTTTTTTTTTTTTTTTTTGAAAAGTCACAGATATACAGTATACTCTTAGGCATTGCATTTTTTGGCATATTGCACATGCAGAGAACAAAATATTTGTTGTAAAATATCTCAAGGTCAGTTAAAGTGGATGAAGAGCTTCCATACACAGTAATTTTCAGGTTTTTCCACAAATTGTCAATTGGATTATTGCCTGGGCTTCGACTTGGCTGTTCTAACTCATGAATATGCAGTGATCTGTGCTTTTGGCTGTTTGTCTAGAGTTGTTGTCCTGCTGGAAGGTGAATATCTGTGACAACCATTAGTCTTTTTAAGCATCTAGCAAGTTTTCTACATTGTATTTAGCTCCTTGCACCTTCCAACTCTGACTTCACAACTGATCCACTGGCCTCTCTACTGTTTCTTGGTCTTCATAATGCTGTTGGTTCTCTAGTGTTTTAACACAAACCTCTGAAGCCTTCACAGATTGTGCAGATTTTCAATTACACACAGGGTATACTATTTTTAAGTCAAATTGGACTTTATTTAGGCATATCAAAGTATTGGGGGCTGAGTCTAAGGGGCATGAATACTTTTTCAATACTATTTATTCGCTGATGTTTACATTAGAGGTTTAATCAGTTTTTATCTCCTGTCCTACAGTGCATACATCAACAAGGCCAGCGACTCTTCGCAACAGGTGACGTTGGTCGACTCACTCCACTCGCCGGAGGGCCTGGCTGTGGATTGGGTCCATAAAAACATCTACTGGACAGACTCTGGCAATAAGAGCATCTCTGTTGCAACGGGAGATGGCAGGAAGAGGAAAGTGCTAATAGCCACGGAGCTCAGTGAGCCACGGGCCATTGCAGTGGATCCTCACCAAGGGTGAGAGGAAAGTTTTATAGTTCAGCAAGTTTTGGACAGCAGTTAAGTGGAATGGCCTGAAGGAAAGAGCAAAAGACCAAAAGTTCTCAGTTTTGATCATTCTCTCCTGTGTGAACACCAGTTCCATTATGAAACTAAAAGAAACGTTAGTTTTCAAGTTGGCCTGAAACATTTTTCCATAGCGTAGCAGTTCTTTTTTTTAAACTGATCCATATGGTGTATTATGCAGTTTATAATTTTCTGGAAAGAGACAGTAAGAGTCTTTATCTTCCTTTTCTACCACTTTCACCCTGAGCTCCCAAAAGGAACATTTTCACAGCTTTTCAGATTTTGGCAAGGTTGGAAAAACACACAACTGAAGCCAGAATTTCACGTTTTTACATGCTTAAATAAAGTAGCCCAAACATCAGTTACTTAATTGAATCCAGCAAGCACAGTTTTAAAATTAAAAGCATAAATTTGATAAATGTTGGATGGATAAAACTAATATAAAGTGTATATAAAAGGTCAGTCTGGACAACTCCAAACTCAAATGGCTACACGATTCAGAAGAACATCAAAAAATAATCAACACTGCTCTTTCTTCTATTTATTGTTGAGAGAAGTGAAAAGAACAAAGATGAAGGAAAAACAACTTGGACCATAATAAATAATTTCAGATCTTTTTCCATGTTTAATGTGACATATAATCTGTATTATCCAACTAAACAAATCATTCGGTAGAAAAAATGTAGATAATAGAAATATTGATTAATGTTCACCTGTTTTGTAGGAATTTCCATACACAGTTCTCTGACATGTGGCATAGGATTAAAATAATTTCATTGTGCAAATGTATCAGTCAGGAGATGGGTACAAAAAATGCAGAGCATAAATTACGTAGTAGTGATAGTTGAGATGATAAAGAACCATGATGACATTATTAAAACTGAGAGTTTTAAGTCTTCTTTACATTTCTGGGAAGGACTTTGATTTTCTTCTAAAACAAAAACGCTGACTAAATTCTCCTAAGATTTTGCGGAAAGAAAAAGAAAAGTGTTTGGTCTGATATATCCACACTGGATATTTTAACCCTAATTGATAAATTCAACATGCAGTACAGACAAGATTATAACAGATTTGGAGAAATTTTCAAATATCAACAAGCCAAGATTTGACAAACAAAGTTGAAATTCAAAAAGTGTTTAAACTGGATTTTACTTTAACAGTGGACACACTTGTATACGATCAGGTAGCAGCTCTGGTTCCGTTTTTAATATTTTTCCCTTCAACCGATTAGCATGGTAGTTACATGTGTGAATAGATGGATTTAGAGACAGACATGTAGCATACACAGACATAAAAGGTAGGCCTGCTCTAGCTTGTAGGATGTTTACTCACAATATCATAACAACCAAAAAAAATGTTCAGACTCCTGCTAATTATATTGCTATATAAAAGACGGAATGTTTGAACTGAGCATCAGGTGTAACTATAATGAAATCAAAAAGATATGAGATGTCCCTCTTTAATTTCACTGTGGTGTTCAACATTCAGATCAGTCTTGCTTTGTTTGGCTCATTCCATTGCTTTGCTTTCATTTACCACATCGATGTATCTTTTCACAGTTTTATGTACTGGTCAGACTGGGGAGATCAGGCCAAAATAGAGAAAGCTGGGATGAACGGAGTGGACCGTCAAATTCTGGTGTCTGACCACATTGAGTGGCCCAATGGAATCACTCTGGGTAAGAAAACATGTTCATTGATCCCCTTTAGGTAAAACAAGCAGCCCTGAAAACACAGAAACTTCAATCTGCACGCAAAGAAGCAAGCATGTAGAGTTGAGATAGGTCTAGAGATGGTCCAACCCAAATAACTCCCATAGTTATATTTCAGTCTCTATCTGTCTCTTATCAATCAAGCCAGCGAGTGGTCTCTGATTTAATAAGCTCGACACTCTGGGCTGTCAGTACCTGCCATCATCCTTTGCAACTCCCTTGGCAGCAAGAGTAAATTTCTCCAATCTGCCCTTGCCTGAGGAGAAGAAAAAGCACACACACTCACCTCGATCAGTGGAATTGTGGTGTTGCTGGTACATTCATGAAAACAAATTATTTTTAGAAGAAGGCAAATGAGCAAGTCGACCCACACTGTGTTACTCTCTTGGGGGGAATAAGTGAATTATTTCACCTTGGTCATTTATAGCAAGCAGAGGAAGTGACTGAGTCAGATGAAGGAGATTTTTCTTCTTAAGGTTTAGTAGTAAGAAAAAAAAAGTGTAATTTCTTTTTAGTGTTTCGGTTTCTCTGACAACTTCTTCAGGCGTTTGACCCTTGCTTTTATCCAAAGGATATTTCAGATTTATATAGACTGCAAGCTGTCAAATTAACCTCAACATGAATGCCAACAGTGGAGCAACAGTGGCCTTCTGCTGTGTTCAGGATCGTTACTTGATGTAAGACTCTAAACGTTCTTTTAAAGAAGGTCCAGCAGGACTAATGAATTTACTCAAGGTCACGTACCTGTCCTCCCCCAGCTGTGATATTACAGTCACATCTGTGTTTTCTCAGCGCTGGGCCTCGGCCATCATGGCAGAGAAGATTGATGGTGTAGCTACAGGGCCATTACATTTATATACCTCTCACCCTGCACCTTTCTCAGCTGACTGACCTTTTTCTCTCTCTTTCTCCATTCACTCCATGCTTCCCTTTCCTTTTCTTCCTCTCCTGTTTGGTTGTGTTCCCATTTTTTATCTCTTTTCTGCACGTTGTCAGATTTGTCCAACAGACGTCTCTACTGGGTGGACTCCAAGCTGCACCTGCTGTCCAGCGTGGATCTGAATGGAGACAACCGCAAAGTGCTGCTGTCCTCCCATCACCACCTTGGACATCCATTCGCCCTCACCGTGTTTGAGGTACAAGAAGGATTTAATTTTAGAACGCACACAAACCAGTCGGTGGTAAATGAATGCATTGGTTTGGTTTCTTCTGCCATATATCTTTGCTTTTAAGTATTGCAGAAATTTTCTTTTAAATACAAAAACTTCCATATCTATTGTGCCAAAAGCTTTCGATAAATTAATATTTTATAGCAAAACAAAGAAAAAAGAATTGAGTAGATATATTTAGTAAAAAATTATATTAATAAATATTTTTGTATTTAATGTGTAAGAAGTTTTTGTATCCGTTGAACCATTTTGTTTTGATTTGGCTATCTAGATTACTGGCAAACCATTTCAAGGATTTTTGCCAAAGGAACCTGATTTATCTCTTGTTCTTTGATTCTGTGATTCTTTGCCCTCTAGAAAGATTCCTAGAGAGAATCAAGCCTACAGCTTTACATAAAGTACAGATGTGGATAACAGCTGGCAGAAGATGCCTTTCCTTATATTCTTCCTTTTTTATACATTAGGTCAACCTAGAGTGTTTGATAATGAAAAGCTCATTATCTGTATCTCATCAGACCAAAGCACATAGTTGGAGTTAAAATCTGTGTAATGTTTAAGGAACATCACACATGTGAAGTTGGATCAGAAAAGGTGTCTTCCTGACGAGCGTTACAAAAAAACCAAACATTTAGTTTGTATCTTGCAGTTGTGGAGATTTGGTAAACTTTGGTAAAGTCTTGACTGCTAACAATGAGTCTTTGAGATGTTTTTGCTTCCTTTAGCATTTTACTGCACAGGGACAAGATAAACTTTCAATAGTTAACTTCTGTTCCCTTCATGGTGGTAGTATTGATTTTATCCCTCAATAATTGAACAAGACAACAATGTAAGATGTAGAAGTGTAGGGTCATTGGATGACCTTACGTCAAATGGCCTTAATAGTTCATATGATGAACTGTTGAGTGATTTCCATTGACTCAAGAAACTGAAAAGTTTTATGCGAATGAAACTGGAATATGCTGAAAATAAATGTGGTAATTTGTTCCATGCTGAATTCAGAGTCACAATGTTCAGCAATAAATGAAACTAAAAGTGCATCTATTGAGGATGATATGAGTGACATTGATTTCATTCAGAGCAGATGGGTGTGAGGCAGAGCAGCCCAAAGGCTGAAGTGTGAGGATGAAAGCAAAGAAAAAAAGAGACAAAATGTTGTAAGTCAGAAGTGTTTTCTCCATTCTTCTCTGTGCTGCACATGCTGTGATGAGTAGAAGCTGAGGAAAAGGGAGGACATCCATCATGTCTGGCTGAGCGGATGTGTCTGAATACTGTGTGTGTGTGTGCGTGTGTGTGAGGAGAACTTATGTTTCAGATTGCAGTGAAAGTTCACCATCTGAGATTAATAGCCCTCAGTTGTTCTGCTCTGTGTTCTGTATGGGTTATGATACAGAACAAATTAAAAAATCCTTTAGCCATGGAGGAGGTTGTTCTGCTCCTAATAACTTTACTATGGGACATTTGTTTCTTTTAAAGTGGTCCGGAACAAGCTGTGAACCAAAATTCTGAATTGACTTGTTTCGTCAATTTGTCTCTGCTTATTCAGGGTAAAGAAATTCCTGCATAAACAAGATATTTAGAGTGTTCATCAAGTTGGGAGACATGGAAGACTAACAGCAGACTGTTGGACATACACCACATGGGAATGCATTGGGTTGGCTCTGTGAGGAGTGCAGTGAGGAGAATCATGTTGCTTGTTTTCTGAGAAATTAGCTCATGTTTCACAATTCACATTTCACAATTTGCCATTGTGAACTCTTAATTGTCCATTGTTCACTTCTGTAATCTTACCTCAACTGTTTAAAAAAATGATCTTTGAAGTAATTTGAAATTCTGAACTCATAAGAAAAAGAATATAAAAGTTAAGTCTGTCACAATGATCTAACTTTAGCCAAAAACACATTTTTATGTGGAATTTGACTTGCTAAATTCATGACACTGGGGTCAAAAATTTTCATTGACATTCAAATGGTATTTTAAATTGTGCTCATTTAATCTGTTGCTTGTTTAATAAAATAAACAGTGGCATTTAAAAAGCAGGTGAATAAAATCTGCAAACATTAAAATATTTCCTGAAACGTGTTATGAAAAATACTGCTTTTGTTGGGGTTATTTTTCTAATCATGAGTGAGTTATTATATAGCATTAGTTGCAAATAAGTTTAACCTTTTTATAATTGTGACAAATTAACAAAAGCATTTAAGTTCACATAAAGCATTAATCCAGTATCTCTATACAGGTAATGCTAAACCTTTAATATGCTGGTTTATGAACAAACATTAAAAAGGAAAAACAAAGCTTTTCTAGGAAAGTCTTGACACACCATCCCAAAGCACAGAGAAAGACACACCAACACACACACAACGTCTCAGTCAGTGTCTACCCCCTGCCCTCACACAGAGTCCTGAGGAAACACAGATTGTAAAGGCTTACTGTGAGTAATGTTGTCTATTCTTCCTCCAGTATTATTGCATTACTTTCCCCCCATTTCTGTTTTGCTAGTGGGTATAGAAGAAGGAAAGAATGAAATGGGTTATTGAAATAAAGAGATACTGAAAATTGATATGTTGGGGAAGACGGAGCATGTGGCCACAGCTTTAGACAGGAAGAAAATTAGGATTTTAAACAGGCTTTATCAGTGCAGACTTAACAGTGGCCAGCTAATGTGCACTGCAGTCCTTAGCTTTAACTTCCATTTAATGAGTTGCTAGAATTGTTGCTGGATGTAAGAAACTAAGAGTAAAGCAGAGTTTCCTGTGCCCCCACCTGTTTCTGTGCAATGCTGGGTAAATATGTTTTTTTTTTTTTCACTTTGCTATTGTTTGAAAACAGATGTTTGCATGTTGGGAAATGCTATTTAAAAAAGTAAACTACAGGTTTTAAAGCACCACAGAGCCCAGCTAAGTAATCTGCTAATGTTTATACAAGTTATAGACTTGCAGAATAAAAGGTACAATACTCTGCTCAAAAAGCTCCTAACAATCTTTCTGCATGTAGCGAATGTTATGTTTCACTATCAGAATAAGATTAAATAAATATTACTGATAACTTTATTATAATTGATATTTACAGTTAAAACACATATTGTATTGCAACAAGGGTAAGTCTTAATTCACTATAAGTCAACTTTATCTTTCTTTTTGTGTCAAATTGTTTTTTTCTGAGACTGAAAAATCATCAAAGTCTGTTTTCCACCCTGCTCTTTTATAATTCATGTCCACTAAGAAGTGTTTTCGTACCACTAAGAGCCGGGGCTTTGACTGATGTGATGCAACATTTTCCTGTGCACACCAGGGTGTAAGTTCAGCAAATGAAAGATTCACCTTGATCATACAATAAAGAATCATGCTGCTGAGGTTTACATTGCTACTTGAAGTTCTCAAGGTCAGAAAAATGACATTTGAAAAGACTGATGGCAGACAATCTGATAAAAGAAAGAAAGGTTGGGACTGACAGTTTGTGAAAGGCATCCAGAGAGAGAGAGAGCGATAAAGGGAGATATGGAATAAAATATCTGAGAATGGTTATATCACCACTGCTGATATTTATCTTTCATTGTTTCAGCATTACTGTCATAAGAGTAAAGGTTATCTCAATCTAAGTGCAGAAGATTGAGCCATGCAGAGTTTGCGGAAAGATGGAAAAGGGAATTCTGGAGAAAGGTTAAGCCCGCTGGTAATCCAGCACAAACAGACAGAAAAGAAAACTGCTGTGCTTGAAACACAAACCAGGATATACTTTGACACACCTCACAAATCTTTGATGAACCCCTGCTGCTCCTCTCTTCAGCCACCATAAAAGAAATTGATAGCTTATTTGTATAGCGTGTTTTGTCTGTCTCACTTTTACCGTTAAAACTTTAGTTTTTGTGATTTTTATTTAACATTGTTCTTGATCTGTTCTTTCAAAAACAAAGAATCTGTCTGCAGGTTTGTCCTTCCTATATTTCCACGTTGGACTCTCACTAAAACATGTCTCGACTAAGCATTGCTTGCTTTTAATCCATTGAACATAGAAATGTAGTCTTTACAAAAACATTCAAAAGCTGTTATAATTTTTTCACGTAACTGATCACAATTTTCAGTGTGTTTTGTTGGAAGTTCACCTGACAGACGAACACAAAGAGGAAAACAGTTCTTAATTGGAAAAAAATCAAGAGTTTCCAGAGTCTGATCTACATGTCTGTACATGAAAGTATTTTTAAAATATAGAAGTGAGGATCACAAATGAATAAAGTAAAAACCTAAGAATTTAATAACTGATGAGGCGGGATATAATATTCTACTCTGTCCTTTATAACTATTTCACACTTTCAAACAATATAAGATGAAAAAAATGGTTTGTTTATGTGCAGATGAGTTTTATAAACGAGTTGTTCGGGTTAATACTTTCTTCTTTATCTTGCATTATATTAAAATGTTTCAAGAAACTCAATTTTTATTACTTAAATGACATAATCATCAAAATGAACAGTAATAAAAAAAATAAAATGTATTACTTTATGACTGTCTATTTAATATCCGAGCTCCACATTTTTGTTTGAATGACTAAATAAAGTAAACATTTTAATGATATCCAGAATGGTTTTCAGTATAAGAACGTTTTGTCCTTTACAACAGAGCCATCTCTTTTAACACAGGATCGTGTCTTCTGGACGGACTTGGAGGATGAAGCCATTTACAGCGCAAACCGGCTGACGGGTCTCGATGTGGCTAAAGTAGCAGAAGATCTTAACAACCCGCTGGACCTTGTTGTGTTTCATGAACAGAGGCAGCCCAAAGGTAAACCAAAAGGAAACAATCCAAGTATGCTCTATATTTGATGTGAACATGTAAAAGAAAGAGTTCATACGACACGATCAATTGAAAATGTGAAGCTAATTGGTCAAATGACAAAATACTATTTGATCTCAGCACAAATTGAATTTTAAATAACCTGTATTATAGATTAGAAGATTAACTCTTCTAAAGACGGAACAAAAGACTTAAAATGTCAAATGATTTGTTAGCATTTCATATTACAAAAGTCTTTGTGTGTGTATGTGTTTGAACACTGCACGTTTGCCAACAGTTTGTTAGTGAGTCTGTTTCTATGATTTGTTTTTTCTCCTCATTAAGCCCTCAAAGCGGCGTGTGTGCCAATTGGGAACAAATTGCATTCTTTCATTAATAAATCAAAAGACATCCCAGAATTGAACATGCTAGCTTTCCAAGTGCCAACAGAAACAACATATAAAACAAAACTAAGTAAGGTTGGATGAAGAGATATTAAATGAACTCTGGCTGCCCTGGAAGACCCGATCAGTAATCTTTTCTTTAAAATGTTACCTGCCTGAAGCAAGATCTCATATCTTACATAATAGTAACTCTAAGCAGTCAATAACCACTGCTAGAGTCCTGCTGTTTCAAATACCATTCTCATTCATAAATGGTGTTTCTCTTGAAGGTCTCTGTAAATTACTGAAATGCAAATGGAACATTTTATTCTAGTGAATTTTATTTACTAGAAGCATCTTCATTCTGATCTTAGCAGAAAAAACTAAAATACCCACACATAAGTTGGTTGAAGGAAACCTTTTGAGAACTGCATTTTTTTGTTCTTTTTTTTGTCTTCTTTTGTCAACCTCAACCCATTTCAATGTGGCTTAGATTTACTGTTAAGTGGGAAAATCGATTTTTAATAACATGGAAGGCAGTATAGAAAAATGCAGTGTTCTTTGTAGTAATGTCATTACTGGTAGTAATCTGTAAAAGTTTAAAAACATTTTAGCTTTAATAACAGAAGACCAATCTGACACTGAAGCCTTTCTACTTTTTTGTTTTACATTTTTATTCATGGACAGGCAAGATAAAAGGCTTGTTTGTGAGACTTTCACTTGTTTTAAACTTTAACATTTTACTCTTCCTATGGATATGGATATGTCCATATCCATGTTCCTATGGATATGGACAAGTTTAGATATTTGTTTATATCATTCTGACTTCTACAGATCAACAGATTGACTACACATTAATAGCATGCTCTCTAGTCTTCCCCATGTTTCAGAGAACCCTAACCCAAGGGAAACGGGAGTGTTACTTAAAAGTTTGTTGACACTGATCTAAAAAGCCAAGTGTGCACTAAAATTGATTTGATTGCATTTGCGTATTATGAGGGTCACTAAATGTTGCATGAGTGATTTTGTAAAAAAAAAAAATCTTATTTTGGGGAATTTTTTTTTCAAATAAAAGCTTTTTACACATGCTGTATCAACTTCTTTCTGAAATATTCTGTAAATTAAGCATAAATGTGGTCCAACTTTTGTAGTGAGTGACACACATCCTAGTTATTCTTAACAAGTGTTAATGTATTAAGCAAGAAAATACATCAGAAGGTCGAAACAACCGCGACCTGACCTACTTCAGGCGCTTCACCACAACGGCAAGCAGATAAAAAAATAAATAAATAAAAAATCCATGAGTTTGCATTTAGGGCTAAAAGACTTCATTTAAATAATTTATCTATGTGTAGAATACTTAAAAAGACAGTCTTTGCACCTTTCGCTATACGTGAGCACTTTCACAGTGCTCTGCCAAAGTAACATGAATATTTGAACTTTTTCCCTTTTTTCTTTATGCTGCAAATTTCACTATAATGTGTTAGAAAGACTGGCATATAACAATATACAGATGCTCTTCATCAAAGCTAAGATTGAGTTATTTTGCAAAAAATAGCTAAAGAAAAAGCAAACTTTAGATGTTCAAGGCTGGTAGAACCATACATAGAAAACTGCAGCTGTATAATTGCAGCTAAACAGGTTTTACAAATTGTTGACTCAAGAATATGAATGCTCCAGGGTTCCAGATTTTTCTTTGAAACGAAAAGAAAAAATAATCTTCGCTCAACTTCACAATTATGCTCTGTGTTACTCTATCATGTGAAATGCCGATAATGTTAGGATTACTTAAATTTATGGCTGTAACATGTAGAAATATGACAAAGTTCAGGCGGTATGAATAGGTTAAGATTTATTTGCTCTGAATTTGTTTTTAAAATGTGTTTTTACCTCCATAGTTTTGTCAAAATTGTGTACATATCCCTACATTACTTGCATATATGCTAAAACTTAGAAATGTTATATATTTCAAAACTCTTGGGATATAACTGCGATTTCAGACCTCCTACTAAGTGAAGCAAAATAATATCATTTTAAAGATTTTAATTTATTTATCATAGCTTTTGATCCACCGTGTTTTTGTTTTTTTTTTTGTTTTTTTTTGCTCTGGTCTCCTCAGCCCCCGACACCTGCAACATGGGCAGTCTACCAAACGGCGGCTGTGAGTATCTCTGTCTAAAGGCTCCTCAGATCACAGATCATTCTCCAAAGTACACCTGCGCCTGTCCTGATGGGATGGAGCTCGGACCAGACATGAGGCGCTGCGCTGTAGGTATGTCACCTCGAACTGATAAATCACACTATCTAGGGGCCTTTCTAATGGAAGGAACCGTGCAAGATAATGTCACTGGAGATCTGCACTACTGTAATTACGGCCGCATGATGATGGAGTGTCTGCTCCAGTATTAACCCTTGTGCGTGCGAGGATTGAGGCAAACGTAGAGAACTATGGCAAGTGATACAAGTTTTACGTGTGTGGAGTCGGTTGGACCCCATTTCTACACACAAGGGTTAAGCTGGAAATGGAGTTTCCACTTCCCCACCATGCTCGCTTTAGAGTTAAGTTTTCTATAAGTAAATGCTCATCTTTTGGCTTTGTGTTTAAGCGTTTCCTTATTGCAATGATAACAGGAAGTACTTCCAAAGCTGTTTAAGATTGAAGGAAACAGCAGCCGGTTTTCAAGTAACAAAGTCCTAATGAGACCCACTGTGCTTTAATGTTTGCTCTACGCAATGAAATGCATGCAGGTAATTGTGTTGACTGTGATGAACTTAAAAATTGGACTCCTCCAAAGAATAGCAGACTATGTCGGTAAATGGGTCAGGGATTCTTCCTGCGTGTCCCCAACACACCTCCATTATTTCACTGACCCTATTTCACAGCTCACTTCGTCCGCTGACTCGATAGAGCCGCAACATTTGTGGGGTTGTTATCCTTAATGGATCCGCTCTGTTTTCACACATCACATTTTAGCAGGTGAGGCAGAGGGAGCTGACTCAGGGAAAAGGGAGAAAGAGATGATTATGATGTATGTGGGCCATCACTCACAGTTGCTCTGGGAGGGGGAAGATGAGCGCTGAGCGCACACTCACAGGGCTCTACAGATTCCTTTTTTTTTTTTTTTCAAATTCAAGTATTACTGCTGGGCTCTCACTTATACAATAAAATTACATTTGCAGCACTTCACTCCTGCTTGTTGCTGTGTGTGTCCTACTTCTAAAACAGTAAATGTATCTAAAGACACAAACATAATGTCTTGGCTCTGACAACATGCAAGAAATGTTACCAGATAAAGCGATTGTGACTACAAAAACAATGCAAATTTTGTCTTATGTTTCTTTAATATATTTTAATTTGTAAATTGCTGGTTATGTGATGCAAATATTAGCCAGGTACAAAAGTTATATTTCAAGTAAAAATAATAAGTTTAAAGCATAATATCCTTGGTGCTAAGATCTTTTAAAGGAATTGGTCTCGGCCCGTTTCCTATTCCTGGTCCTCAACGCTCGCTACCCTGCATGTTTTAGGTGTTTTGCTGATTTAACACACCTGATTTCAATTGATGGCTGACTAACAAGCTTTTGCTGAACTAGAAATATCTGAGTCAGGTGTTTCAAAGCAGGGAAACATAACATTCAACACACCTTGTAACTGGAATACACACTTTCTCTGTAGCCTAAGTTTCTACTTTTTCCCATGAAACTCACTTACATGTGAAAAAGATTCTAAATGTAAAACATTATGTAGCAGTGGACACAGATAAAAAGAAAAAGAACAAATGCTTTAAAACAATATTTCAGGCTGTTTAAGAAGGCGGAGAAAACATCTCAGGAAATTACAGAAACTGCTAAGAAATTTGATCAGAAAAAAACATCCTGATCACCAATCATTGAAATGTTTGTCCAAATCTAATGGAAGAAAAACAACAGTGGAATTCAGACTATGTTTAACAGTGGAAGTGAGGCTTTTCCACTTGCACAATGCAAAGAGAATTCCAGAGATTGGAACTGAACAGCTCTGTAGCCATAAGAAAACCATTTATTATCAGTAAGGCTAACCTGAGAAAAATCCTTGCATTTTTAAGGGAGAACAAAGATTGGACTTTGGAGCAAAGAATAAAAGCTAATATGGTCTGATGAGTCCAGATTTACCCTGGTAATAGTTGTTTATTTATATATATATAAAGCCACTAAACATTTTTAGTTGCATTGGAGCATATGTATAGGTGTTTCTTATGGCAACTCCTCAAGCATGCTCCTTCTTTTTGTGACATAATGGAAATCCAGAAAGAACCAGCAAAATATCAGAAAGATGGATGAGGGCTTACACATAGCAGGTTCATCCTTGGCTAAAATTAGGAACAAAATGTGTTTATCAGCCTGAGAATGAAATCAAAAGACCTTGTGAAGATGATGGCTGAAGTTTGTAAAAGTGTCATTATCCACAGCAAAGCAAGTGGTACCGACATGGGCTGCAAAGCCGCTCAGAGAAAAACAGCTATTACTTCAAAAATGATATGAAAACACTGTTTGCAATCTATAAATGCAGTCAGGGAAAAAAAGTTACATTGTTTATGGCATGCATTTGATCATATGGAATTAAATATGTGTGAGCATGTGAATATCAGGTGAACAGTGAAGCACAGGCATGGCAGTAACATGTTCTGAGGATGTTTTTCTATAGGAGCCATCAGTCAGTGCAATTTTCAAAACATATTTCATTATGAGGAATGAACATTATGAAGAAATGATGAAGCCACATTTAAATACATCAGCCAGGAAATTAAAGCTTGAGCACAAATGGGTCTTTAAAATGGGCAATGTGCTGAGTAGAGCACATCAATGGACACAGATAATCATTTATAAACTTTGATAACATGTTTCTATATGGAAGAATGAGCAGCAAACTGTTGGGAAAACATTGTATCCAAAATATTTGACCAAAGTCATGCAGTTGAAAAGACAATTCTACCAAATATTATGAAAATATTTTTTAATCTCAAGAAGTAAAAAAACGAATTTGGCATTTAACAAGCAGACATATTTGTGTGTATCCTAATTAAAACAGAAATGACTCTGATTAATTTTACATAAGGGAAAAAGTTGTCCCATTTTTATACAGTCAAAGTAAATATCTGGTTTCAACCGTATGCAAATGTCACCATAAGTCACCTTATACATAACCTACTGAGCTGGTGACACATTTTTTCCTGATTAAGCAACATCTTGTAACATGAAACTACCTCTGTATATACATATTTTTTTCATCGTTAGTTTCACTGTTCAATACTTTTTCATCTGTTTACGCACTTTTAATTTTTTGAACAACTGATGAATATTGCTAAAGCTAAATTATGGTGTTTTCTACGTAGGTAAAAGAAAGCTTCACCAAAGTTTACTTGTTACGGTGCAACTCACTGGATTTAAAATGTGAACATGTCAAACAGAATTATCAGAAAATTATGCATACTGATCACCTTTGTATCTTTTCAAATGATCCCTGTTATTTCAATGAAAGTTTTAAAAAATGCTACACTTACAGTTTAGGGAGTTGGCATCTTGCCCCTAGTTTTCTCTTGTCTAAAGTAAAACAGATTTATCAACATTGCCTATTTTTTTTTCTTATGCACAGTGCGAATCAGGACAACCACCACAGTTGCCCCAACCACCACAAGTACCACGACAGCAACTACAACAGCCACGACAACTACGACCACCAGTCCTGCCACCAGCACTACCACCATGACTCCCACCACAACAAGCACTACCACTTCTGCTGCCACCCCACCGAGGACCACAACCAGGCACCACATGACACCAAAGCCCCCTCAGACCTCCAGAAGCAGCAGGATCACCCAGCCACCTGTGACACAAGCCGCCACAAGCACAGAAACTACCAGTTTGAGCAGCACCAGCCAGACGTCCACACAAACACCCTTACTGGGCCCAGTGGCACCAGACAGCATTCAGAGAGAGACCAATGCTAACCTCTCCCACAGAGGTAGGTATAATGGTGAGCAGGGTTGGGTTTGAAGTGAAAGCACACTGTGTGTGCGAAGCCACACTTTCATTACCTCCTGCCATTACAGCAGCAGGAAGCTAAAAACCAATATTTCCATCAGCTGCCTCCTCTTTTCTGGCTCCCCTTCTCCTTCATCTCTCCTTCTGACCATCTGTCTATCCACTGTGTGACCTCTTCTTGTCCTCCTTTTCTCACTTATTCACAGCAAATCCCTCCCCAGTAAATCTGTCGGCCTTCTTATTTCTAGTCCCTGGTCACCAGTTTCTAACAGAGGTGTCAACGCTAACAAACGATAGTTTGCTGAATTTTCTGCAGCCTCTGCTCATCACTCTTCTTCACTTTGACAGCTTCTCTTCATCTATTCCTCCCTATCTCTACCCTTCACTCTCTCTCTGCTTTTGTTTTTCACTCCCAAAAACTGGCAGCATTTTTCTTACAGACACCGGTCAGCCTTAACTTGATTAAGAAAACAGACTAGAACACCACTGTTATTTTTTGCAAAGTATTCACATGATTTAATTTGAAGATGCCATCTTAAGAAATAAAAGCACTGCTCACTAGCTACAATTTTTCATTTTTCAAAGACAGACTAATATTTTTGTCAATGACCAAGATAAATTATCTGGACTTTTTCTTGGTACACTAATTAATTATATGAAAATATAAACATTTGTCTTTTTTTTTCCTTTCAGTTTTTAGTTTACATCAACACTTGCAGCTCTGATGAACATTGATTTGACTATTAAGCAAATGTTATAAAAAAAAGCAATGTCAAATTTCAAAAACGTCAATTCTTTCAAAACGTTATGTACGTATTAAGTGGTAAATTTGTTTTCTTAGAAAATTTATACTTACCCAAATCAAGTCCTAGAACTAAACCAAATAACTTTCTTGTCTAAACCTGGTTGATTGTATTAAGACACCAACTGGTTCCCCAGATAACCGTTAGACATTGGAAAACTCAAACTCTGGTCCTGGAGGTCCAGTGTCCTGCTATGTTTACATGTGTTTGTGGTCCAATTCATCAGTCCAGACTGGATGTATACAGCAAATAAAGTATAATTATGTAACATCATTATTAGATCAGAGTGCCAACATTATTGTAGCTTCTATATACATTTCTTAACAGTAGGACAATGCTACAAGTTAAAATACTTATGCGATTAGAATTCTGTGACATTTCCAACCAAATTCATGGCAGACTGCTTTAGATGGATGGAGTTATGTATGCTACAATATCACAAGTGCAGAAAGGGAATACTAATTCCTCAGAAACCCTGCAGAGTTCTATTTTAGTGCTGCACTATCTGATGCTATGCCTCTGTCTGAATTGATGAAGATTTATTCCCAGCCATCTGCTAAATCTTTAAGTTGCCTGACACTGCAGGGGACTTGGTCGGTATACAGAAGGGTTAATTCTGTAGAACGCTGAAGATTTTCCACTTCTCAACTGAAATTACATGCAATATACTTGTGAAGGATTTGACATTTTACAAAATGAAATGTAGCTCTTCATGTTTAACCCTACCTAAAAACAAATTCTCAATTTGTTAACGTATGTTGAAATACAAGTAACAATATGACAGAGTTCCTTTCTCTTGATTTTATAGTAATCCACTGACTGAAATGAAACTTGACATTTATGTTGTACTGTAAACCTGGTGTAGTTTTCTATTCAGTGTTGTCTTAATATGTTTGGAAGTGGAAGGTTAGTCAAGGTTGCTGCCATTTGTTTCCGATCTGCAGTTTGCCTATTAGACATCACAAAATCCTCTGACTGCTCTTTGAAATAATAAGGATAATAATGTTGCTTGATATCAAATAGAAAAAGGCATTCCTTTCACAGAAAAGCAGAGCACATATCACACTGAACTTATTGAATATTGTGTGCTTTCAAGTCTAATGCTCTGTTTTTAGCTTTTTCATTCATTTTAGTTTCTTTTTACTTGTGATTTAAGTAAAAAAATGTGTCCACTTTTAGAACCCTGCCAAGTTCATCAATGTCACTTTTCTCTCTGATTCAAATACGAAAACTGTGGCTTTCAGCTGTGGTCAAGGAGAAACAGATTTTGGCTATGCCTGAAAAGAGGTTGAGCACTTGGGGAAAAGCACACTAAAAATAAGGTCACGAGCACTTTGAATGCAATAACAGCTGTCTGTGGACTTCAGCCAAAGGATAAAACACAGAGGGTACAAGGACAACAATGGCATTTAGTGAAGTCTGCATTGTGTGAAGTCTTAATTACTTGAGTTTACTGAAGGTTTATTTGTATATAATGTATTTTAACAAAATGGCATAAACAGAAACATTCTGAGCTTAGTATTAGATTTCACTGAAAATACTGATTGGACTGAAATGATAGAAAATAATGAAAATAAAATGTAAATGGAAAGAGATCACAGATAATTTATACTCTGGTAAGTGGGACTTGAAAAATGTGACACTGTCACAGAGATAAGAATTGATGGGATGGAAACAAAGTAAGTGTGGAAGTGATTTTCTAGGAACTAGAAAGTAAGCCAGCTGCATCACTTTTGGTGCCTTGGTATTCCAGAGCCCCCAAGATGCAAGACGCTGTTTGTCTCCAAGTCTCTGAAGCTGTCAGTTCTCTCGCTGCACCACAAATGCTAATCACAAGAGATGCACATTAAAAAAATGGGGCATGAACAAGATGCGTCTGCAAATCCACGAGCCATGAGTTATAATTTTCAACTCGGTGAACACTGGCAAGTTTGCCGGCATCAGCTGCTGTACATGTGTGTCACTGGGGCAGACATCATCAGGTGTGGAAGAGACTAACAAGTAATAAAAGCAGGTTACCAAAGCCCACAACATTTTCAGGCTCATAGATTATTACCTTTTTCTTTTATAGTCTAAAAGATAATTATTTAACCTCCTTTGTTATCATAATAGAAATTAGTTTTTGCTTGTTGTGTTCAGTCTTATCCTTATGAAATATCATAGTGAGGCTTTTTTTATACAATCTGAATATCTGTTATGATTGTTTTCCCACAAAATTATTTGATGTCTGTCTTTAAACACATTTTGAATAAAATAACAGACATATTTTCATTTCATACATGGACATATTTCTAGGAAATGTTTTTGAATTTCACAGTCTTTCTGAAATTAAAAAATCCTTCTAGCAATTATAGTTGTCATGAAAGTGAAGCATTTCTAACGGTCTCCTACTGCCTTTGCTCTCCAGGACTTCCTCTTTTATAACAGCTTCTTTAATAAGATTCTACTAATCCGCCTTTTAGAGTTTTAGAAACCCACTGGACGTCAGTCATACTTTCAGAAAAGCTTAATTCATAACCGCTGACTCAGGACTTGCTGGGTTTGGTGTACCGTCTGGAGCGGTGTATGTATGCATGTACATGCGTCGGTGTTTTTTTTTTTCTCCCTATGATTACATTCATACAAAATAATGTGTCTTTCTTCAGTCACATACCATCTGTGCCTTCTTAGCTATGCACAGAACTTCACAGCCTCTTTCTAGAAGGAGCCAATCGGTATGCAGAGCCAGCGCCGTGATCTCCTCTGCTAATCTCCCTCACTTGACTTTACTCTAGCCATCTGATCACACTTTGGCAAACCGTGAGCCTGCTGCTAATAGACAGATTGAGAAAGGGGTTAGTATCAAATCTCAGTACCAACCTGTTGGGGTGAGAACGTAAAGCAGGTGGATATTCAAAAGCCTTTTTAGTATTAGACGGGGGCTAGTTACCTGTATTAAAGTATAACAGAAGTTTTACGAAGTCACAGTTTCTAAACTGCTGTTTTTATGTCATACTGTTTCTACATGGTTCAGTTCCTAGACTTTTCTGGGCTGTACAGAGCGAGGCCTGCCTTCCTCTAATGTAAATTCAAAATTACTTTATTATTTATTTTAAGATGTCTTCAAGTCAAAACAACTTTGTGCTTTCATGGCTGGTCGCCTGGATCCCTAAATATGCATATTACCTTGTTATACTGAAGTTACTTGCCAGATATTAATTTTCCAAGAAAGTTAATAATCTTACTGTGCAATTTAAGAAATTCTGAAACCTTTAAAGCAGTTAATGCTTAGTCATAACCTAAAATACTGATAATTGACAGGGTCTAGCTATACATGTTAATCTGTCTTTTATTCAATGCAATGTGAGAATAGGTTGTGGAATAAGTGTGGGACAGTTATTATGGCTTTGGTAACAGATTACTGACATTTTTGCAACACATATTTCTCTGAAGTCTAAAGATATGTTTAAGAAAGAAAAAATAAATTAAATTTTCAGTTGGCATTATGATATGATCAAGCACTCATGTTACCCAAAGTCACTCATAATTGGCTTAATAGTCTTTGTGACAGCTTCTTCCCAGAGGCCCATGATGTCAAGTAACTGAACTCGGTAATTCAAACCAAACCTAAAAGAAACTCCATCAAGAAGACTTCCTCAGCCCAGGTCAGAGGACGGCTCACTCTTAAGAGATGTAGCTACACTAAATGTTTTGGTTTGCATCATTTGCTAAGATGATGCAAACTGCAGGTGTCATAAGCAGTTTTGTGAAGCAATAGATTTTGGTTGACAGGGAATCTGACTTTTTAAGTAGAAGCAACTTGTTTTACTCGTGTGACTTTGTAAATAGTGACTTGTGAGAAAAAGATAATACTCTGTACAGTAAGAAAGCTTTAAGGAAATCTTTAGTCAAACGTCTCCCTCAAGAAATATCACACATCATTATAACTGTTATCATAAATACGCTATATTTTTTAGATTTTTTTTGTAATAAATTTGAACACCTTTCATATTATTTTGTTTTACAGAATCATTTAACTACCATACTGCATTGAAACTTTATTGTTTTAGTCAAGTTTATGACATTAAGCGTTTTTTATCAGTCCATCACTCCCTACAAAATGCATTGGTATTGTTTTGCATCAGCATTTTAAAAACACAGGCAAAATAGCAAAAAAAAATGCTGAAGGTCATCTGGAGTCTCTCAACACAGTTCGAGTCTGACATGAATTACTTGTTGCCAGATATATATTTGGAGCTGCATTCAAATACTTTCTGATGCATTGCTTTCTCATATTGCTTTGCACTCTTGTATATAAAAAAAAAAACTCATTGCATTTTTATTGCTTCCTGGTGTGATACAATCACACTTCATTTACACATGCTATTAAAAAAAACAAAAACAGTCTGCAGATGGGCTGCTCGTCTTTTTATCATGCAAATGTGCTTTTCTAGCAGGATGCCCTTCTGTTCAACAAACTTCTAATTCTTCTTTAAGATGTGGTTGGGGATGTACCGATGAGCAAAACTTCTTGCTGATTTTGCTTTTATTTTTTTATCTTCTTGTTCATCGCAGCTTCAAGTGATCACTACCTCATAGGTAACAACATCACAGTTGCCGTTTTGGGAATAGTCATTCCGATTGGTGAGTACACTTTAAATATCCACGTTGTTTTTGCTCTCTGCTTGCCTGCTTCTCCCTCCTTTGCTTGTGTCAGACGTTCTGCAAACTGTTTGTGCATGTGGCGTTTTGTGTCTCGGGCTGCATGCTGCATTATCCTGTATGTTTATGCATGAATGACGAGAATATTTTTCATAAAATATGTCAAACACATACAGAATTATTGGATATTTGCATCTTTTTCTACTTATTAAGCTCACCAGTGAATTCTGAGTATCAAATAATATGTTAACACCAAAATGAGCTGTAATGCTATTGAAAAACAGGCTCCCAGCTAAAGAAATCCCTTGTAACGCGGTACACTCATCAGTCAGTGAGTGAGTGTGTAGGCCTCTGTAATGTTAACATTATATTTATGAGAAATAGAGAACCAGTTTTGTTTTTTTTCATCACATTGGTCCAGCTGTTACAACATTAGATCCTGTGATAATATTAATCCATGGCTCTATATCAATCAAGGGCTCTAACAAATTATATGCAGTTGCTGAAATATGTTTATAAATGATAAAAATTACTTCACTTTCTTAATTACAGGCATAATTAATAATTAAAATGCTTTAACAAGTTCAATAAAAATTTCTTCTGGAAGGCACAACATTTTTTCAGTGTTATACACAAATGTATACATCCACCGTGGTGAGAGAAATGTGTGAAAGCCCTGAAATATATGAATCTGTTGTTGCTGTTATAACTTGACATTCTCTGTAGTTCAAGATTTGCATCTCTTACATTCAAAATTTAAGAAACTTGAGTTTTTAGACTTAAAATTGGCAAATACTAGTGGGTAAAAACAATATCTAGGAGCCCTTTCCTGAACAGAAATTTACCATACTTAAATATAATACTCGCTTCCCCACTACCCCCATTTTGAAGATTAAGAGTAACAAAAATTGACATATTTTATTTATACCCAATTGTAATTTGGTTAGAATTTAAAATGTATTTTAAAGTTATTTCAGAAGAATTGAGAAGGCTCTGATAATTTTCTCATGGATGATTTTTTTTTTTTTTTTTTTTTTTGAAGCGATTAATTCTTAACCTGCAATTTCATTTTTATTGTCTAATTGCAGTCTTATGCATGGAATTTAAAAACATGTAGTGTGAGATTAACAATATATAGATGCATTCTCTTTTCTGTTGAGGCTTTTTTGCACATCTTTATGTGAAGGGTTCTGTATACTCTGAAACCATGATTTGACATCCAGTTGCATATCAAAAAATAAACCTGCTCAGTAAAATTATTATATTCTTTTAGCTCTCATTAAAACAATTATTATATTCTTTTAGCTCTCATTAAAACTAAGATCATATTTTCTGGAAATATTTAATAATTTCATGGGAAAAGGGCTAAATGGGCAAATAATGACCTTTTAGTGCCAGAACATGCTGCTAATTGACATCTCTTTCATTTCTAATTTTGAATAGTCACGGGAGCTCAAAGACTTTTTATATGCACTTTTTTTATCCTTGTTTTATCCTCAACAGTGGAGATATGAGCTCATTAAAAACATAACCCCTCAGAGACAGTTAACCCTTTCAACCTCATCCCTTATTCTGTCCTTCTGCCAGTCGTCGCTGCTACAAATCCCTCAATATAAATTTTTGGCATCTTTGAAACATTAATTATTGTTGGAAGTCCACAAGGGCTGGGATTTCAGCAGCCCCGACTCTGCACTCTCCTCCAGTTATGCACCACCCACTGTTCCATAAGAGGGAAGCGTACCAGCCCTGATTAACAGTATTTAGTAGAAGTCAGGCTGTTACAATGCTCTCTAATTGGAGTGAAATATTCTACAAAACCCAAAAGCTGATGTTTCTTTTTTTAACCAATAAGCATTTAGACAAGATGGATTAAGTCACACTGGGATCTTTTTTTTTTTGTCTTTTGTACAACAAAAGTGCAATTAGATTGGGCTTCCGTTGGGGATGAAAGCACATCTAACGGTGTGAGCACACATATTATCATATGCAAACATAACTATTTTTGTCACACTGGTTTGTCTGTTAGTTCCTCATACAAAGTCTGTTCACACTCACATTGGTTCTGCAGGGCAGTTGGGCATTAATGCCAATATGGTAATGAGTGGAGAGAGACGGCGCTTATCTCAAATCCTCCAAAGCCCTCCCTTCCTTCCCTCTCTTCCCCTCTCCATTCTCCTCTAATAACCCCGTCCAAAAAGCACCACAGCCAGACCGTCTGCAGATACTCTTTCATTTTGCAGTCAAGGCGAGAACAAAATTATAAATCATATCCCAAATGGAGCACCGGGATAATGTGCTGATGACAGCTAAGCAACCTTGCAGGACTTTTATTAAAAAAAAAAAAAAAAAAAACACAAAAGAGCTAAATCAATTGCCTCCGGCTTTTATGTTGCAATCTTTATGTTTGCCTCTCTTGATGTATGTGTGTGTGTGAACATTGAGGATGGGGTTTTATAGTATATGGATGATTGCAAATGGAGGCACTCATTGAGGTAAACTGTGCATGTTGATTAATGTGTATGTGTCATTCTGTGAGATGAGGGGGAACATGCAGTACTGGATCCACACCTAATTTCTTTATAATTTGCTTTTAAGTCGTCTTGAGCCGGGCTGCTAAAGATTTTTTATTTGGATTTTTGTTTTTTTCACTTATTTTCTGTCTTTGAAACAGAAATATTTCCTGTGTTTAATTAATTTAACTCCAGTGACACACAAAAGTTACGCAAAAACAAAAGATTCACCATTATATATAAATAAATAATAATGATAATTGCCGAGACCAATGTTGGTCCCTTTAATTTTTGTAAGTTTTTGTTGGTACAACCACAAATTATTGCATTTCATTTGGATTTTATTTAATAGAAAGAAAAAATCCATTCTTGTGGAATTAAAGGAGCATAATACATTTTCAAATTTATTACAGAGGCGTGGCTAGGTAGAACAAGGTATTAATCGAACAAAATAAGTATTGCTTACCATAGGAAAACAAGGGAACGGCATGCTTTGGTCAGATGAGAATGTTGAATGTACCTCTCCACTGTGAAAAACAAAGTAGTGATTTTCTTGAGCAGTGGAATGGAAGCTGGTCACATAAATGCACATCACTTCTGTTCAGATTTCTGTGACCTTTTCCTTCTGATTCACAAAAAGAGGCACATATTTGCGTTGTGTAGAACATAAAACACCAATAAGCTACACCAAGGTTTTGGGTTGCAACATCAAAAAATGTGGTGCCTGGTCTGACTACATACAGTTTAATGGGTATGAATACATTTACAAATCACTCTGTATTTTAGCACATACTGCCTAAGGTGTAAGATCACAAAGACCTCTGTGCTGAGAGTCTTACATACGTTACATTATCAACTAATGAATTATTCAGCACTCATATATTCTCAGACCTGAACAATATATGGCTTATAAGGTTTTTAGTTCCCTAATTTGGAAATACATGATTGGTTTTATTAGTATTTTCTAATTATATGTTTGCTCTGACAGTTCCTCTTTAATCCTTTTTGTGTCTATTTTCAAGCAAACACCAAAAAGCATACAGAGAGTCTTTAGTCAAAGACTAAAGACTCTCTGGAGGCAAAATATAAAGACAATTGGGATGGTTTTAAAATGTTTGCACTGTATTGTGGTGAATTAAGTTTGAAGGCTCATTGTTTTATTATTTTTATGTTTTATTTTTTACAGATTATAGATTCAGTTACTATTACTTTGGCAATGAGCAAATTCATGCCTTTTTTCTACTGGTGCAATTTTTGTGTACTTTTATTTATTTATTTCTTAAAATATTTTTCCAGTTTTTATCACAACTCTTGTTTAATTGCAGAAAAAAAATACAAGATTTGCATTGAATCCTTTTTGAAAAAAAAAGTAAATAAATAATTGATGCTTACTTTATCTCCTCTATTTAATTCTGTAAAAAGAAATAAAACGATGAGCCTTCAGCTGATAAAAGAAACAATGCAAGCTGTGTTTATGTTTGTGTTAGTGCTTAAAGCGCCGCTCCGTGTCCCCTGGGCTGTGTTAACGCTCCCGCCGTGTGTTGTTGTTGTGTGTGTGTTAAACACATGCAGTCCCTATCCTTGCCACAGTGGTCATTGGATTGCTCTGCACCGGCGGCTACCTGGTTTGGCGCAACTGGCGACGCAAGAACACCAAGAGCATGAACTTCGACAACCCTGTGTACCGCAAGACCACGGAGGACGACGACGATGAGATTCACATCGGCCGGCACAGCGACTCCATCGGTCACGTCTACCCGCCAGTGAGTGGCAGCCACAGCCAGCCATTCATAGCGCTTCCACTAGGGGGCGGCGTCACAGACAGTAACTCTCACTGGTACTCAGGAGCACCGATGCTTTCCAGTGGCAAATGAGGGCATACCAGGAGGGAAAAGGAGGTCTTTGGAAATTTTTGAGGTTTGAGAGGATGCTCAAGGTTCCCCAGTGGGAAGAGAGAGCAGGCTCGCACACGCACACTTCCAGATGTTTACATATCATTTTTAAGTCACTGAGAGCACCAACTAAACACACCTATGTCATTCATCGGGCAATGTCCCTCACATTAAGCAACCACAACATTCCTAATATCATCCCTCATCCCATTTGTTTTTGCGTTGTGGTAGTTGCACCTGGTTGCAATTGTGCTTCCTGTCAAAATTCATCTTATCACAAAAGGAGCTGTTGAATTCAAGGTTTCTGTTTCCGTTTTTATTTTTGCAGATTAACTAGATGCTTGCCACTTCATAAACACAACAATTTAAATGGATAATAACAAAAAAATACATTATCCAAACCGTGGGACACCAAAGCTCAGGCACTCTGTTTTCATTATGCAAAATATTATTCCAATTTGGACATTATTAAGGGAACAAAGTGGATCAGCTTTACTGATGTCTTGAAAGCTGGACAATGGAGCTCAAGGCCTTCCCAGCTGTGCACGTCTGTTTTGTAATGACTGAGAAAATAATAAACGTATAAAGAAAGCTCAAACCAGGACAAAAGACAGGCTGAAGCTAAATTGATTTCACTTTCCCAGCTTGAGTCCAATAACTTTTAATCTCCTCACCACAATCCACACATCTAGCCTGTTGATTTCCTGTTGATGTGGATGTATTTCTGATTAATCCAGCTCACAATTTACAGATGCAACTCGATGAATTAAGTTGTCATTCATTTCTGTGATTAAATTAAAAACGAAAATCTCATATATAGACTTATTACACACAGAGTGAAATGTTTTATGCGTTTGTCTATTTGCTGTGATTATGGAAGCCCAAAAGTTAGTAAACTAGAAAACTGGAACAAAAAAAAGACTTTTTAGCACAAAGTTGTAACATCCATGTTTAAAAACAAAAATGAATGTCTTGCTTTTCATTAACAGCCTCCATAAGGAGCATAAGCTCCAAAAAATCATTGCTAAAGAATTTAGCTGACTGTGCAGAGTGGAGTATGAGAGTACTTTAATTGAAATTTGACTGAAAGAAAATGTGCTTGAATGAAAAGGGCATAATCAACAGGGGTAGACAGAAAGTGTTTTGAAGCAAGGCCTGTTCAGCAGTTAGAGGGAGATTCACAAAGCTTGAACTGCAGCTAGAGTCGAAGTTTTAAGGGCAGCAACAAACACATATACTGAGGACATGTGCTACCCCTGTCCCTTTCTCCATGGCACTCCTGACCCAGAAACGACATCAGAAGCGCCTTACATCGTCTCATTATTTCATTTGAAACTTAGGTCCCAGAATCTCCAAGAAAAGAAGCACAGAGTCCAAACTCATTGAGGTCCAGTGTGATATTTCCACAGTGAAAGCAGCTATCTTCATGCTTCTGTCTGCTGACAAGCACAGTGGGGATTCTATGTGTCTAACATATCTTGTTATTGTTCCTATGTTAGAACTGAATGTTTGGTTTTAATTACCTTCATGACATGGTCATCAAACCTTACCAACGCAAACACATAAGTCACTGTTGTGTGTAAAGAATCTATATAATGTGAGATTAACTCCTTGAACTGATTAATGAAATTAATTAACTTCCCAAAGATATTCTAATGAACCAGGATGGACCTGTGCAGCAAAAATGCATTATCAGGACACTCAGGATGTTTACTTTATGTAATATGTTTAGGTTGATGGGAAGACTTCTGTTAAGGATAGCCAAAACGTAATTACTGAGAGAGAAGGAAGTGGTGTGCTTTGATCGGTTGTCATGGTAACATTGATTTCTTTGTGGTGCTCTGTAGAGGAGGGGGGACGGGGGGAGAATTGTGGGTATCCCTGGCACGATGACATGCTAGAAGCATGCACACACACACACGCGCACAGGCATAAAACAGGTGCACGATTAAGATTCAAGGACGAAAGAAGAGCACTGTTCAGTGAAGAGCAGGAGAGAGGCGACTATTTTTCTCTTTCCAGCAGTTTTTTATTCATTTACGTATGTAAAAATCTCCTTCTTTGTGTTTGATTTTTACACTTGATCTCTTTCTCTTTGTCTCGCCTTCTCTTCTTCTCGCCTCTTGTGTCAGGCAGGTCATGCAGCCCAAGAAATCTTTCTGGTAAAATATGGGCCAGGCATTTGAGCCGTAAGCAAGAACGCTGCATTCCTGGTCTACTGTACGAGCAGCCAGGGAAGGAAGGAAAGTGGAAGCACATGGGGGGATTTGGAGAAACGATAATTAGGAAAGGTCAGGGAGAGGAGGGATAATTGTGAGGAGAAAGACCAGAAGAAAGATAAAGGTTGCATTTTTCTTTTGGTTTCCTTGTTGACTATTGTGTGGCTCTGTTTGTCTGCTCCCTCAGCCTGCTGTGGTAACCATCTTTTCATCTGCTGTTTACAGCGCGTGGCACTCAGTCTGGAGGATGATGGCTATCCCTGATGAGGGGGGGATGCAGCCTGCTCACCCCCCTCCCCTTCAGTCCCTTCCTATCCCTTCTCTCAGCACAGCCTCCGCACCACTACAATGAGGCCAGTACAACGCAGAGGGGAATGAGATGGAGTCCACATTTTGCCTCCCCCTTTTTAAGTAGCAAGGATGACTTGCACATGTCTTCTCCTTCTTTCTGACTACTACTACTAGGTACTACCACTTTCATTAGTGTCAGTTTAGTAGCCTCTGCTCCACTCCTCTCTTCCTCTTCTGCTGCTTCCTAACAGTAGTGGCGTGTGAAAATGCTGCTAGATTATATCCTTCACACTAACCTCATTTGAAAATTGAAGGCAAAGGCCGGTCACCAGAAGTGGGGGGAGAAATGCCTCATGTTTTGACCGTTTTATTTATTTATGCGTTTTAAATATGTAATCTGCATCTGTCAGTGTGAAGTCCTAAAGGCGAGATTACTTGAGCAAGTTTGCACAGTGCATCAGAAGTCAAGGATGTCATATTTCCTCTGGTTTCCTGAACTTTACAAGTTCACAAGCCTTTTTTTTTAAACTTTGAAAGAAAAAGGCCATCTATTATTTGTACACTGACATGTTGCGATGCTAAACATAGTTGAGGGGACAGGAGAAAAGAAAAAAGGGATGAGGCTGTCTGGATGTTTAGAGGTGGTTTTGGGGTGAAATGGTGGTGGAGGCAGTTTTTCTTTCTGGCTGATTTGTGCCTCCAGAAGGTTGTGCCCCAAGGTAAAAAGCAGCAAGGCAGACAGGACAATGGATTGTGGGTAACCCCCCTCTTTGTGTCAGAGGTATTCACAGAGTCAATAACGAGCTTGACTTGGCTGATTAGCTGTGATGGGTAGAGTTCATATATTTCTTACATTTTTCTGTTTGTGTTCCTTCTTCCTTGTGTGACTGCCTTGAATATGAATATAGAGCTGCTACTCGGAAGCAATATGCACAAAAGACGTCATTAACATTTTAAGATTTTAAAAGAATGTCCTGCTTTTGTATGTTATGATTTCTAGTGGTGTAATTGTACAGGGAAAGACATGTTTGAAGTTCATATTTTATCATCTTTTCTGTATTTATCTTCCATTCAGGCGCAGATTAATTTCTTTTCCCTCAGTTTAACTTGTCTCATCTTAAAGTCAATGCACTATAACAGTTAGTGCTGAACTGACCCCATTTCCGTGACTTCCCGGCACTTTTCCCAGTACTATTCCTGGTGTAGCTACCTTCCTGTTAGTGCAACTGGATGAGGTGATGCAGAAAAACAGCCCACGTTTGAAAGACATCAGTCGCTACTGTCACTGAGTGTTCGCTCTGGTTTTGTGTGAGCAGATCAGTAGAACATCATGCTTGGCTGATCCTGGCACACTGATTTGATTTTAGAGATGGATAGGGAAGAAATGTGTGAGCCAGCGTAAAGAGCCGATCTTCCATTGACTCGCTTGAAACGTGCTTCCAGCCCATTGAATCAGATGGAGTTTATGCCCACTGAAAACAGTAATAATTGCTCATTTCATGTTCCAGTTGTAAATAACTGCAGGCTATAATTATGGAAATGGAAAAAATGGCTGTTACAACAAGCAACTCGCTTACTCTGGACATCATTTAATCATTTGATTCAAAGCATTAAAGATTTGTCTTCCACACCAATTGTTGAAAAAAAAATCTAAATGTTTCAAATGTGAAGCAGCAAAAACTTGTTTGAATGGAACAACCTGCAAAAAATGACACACAGTCTTCCTGTGCTTGCTTATAGTATCGTAGACTGATATCATGAATTCATTCAGCTGTCATAAAAAACGGTTACTATTCAGGGACTTTTGTGGGGTTTTTTTGTTTTTGTTTTTTCTTTAGTTTTTTTTTTATGTTTGAGTTTTAAATAACTGATAACCCGAGTGGAGGAAGGAAGACACAAGTTAAACAGAAAAATCTCTGTAGATTATTTACCTGAATTCCAGCAGTGCTGCATTGTGACATTCTGTCACTCTCGTCCTTAGAAGGATTTTGCTCATTCCTGTCCAACAGGTTGATTATTTGACCATTCTTATCTGTAAAACTGGTGGAGTTTAGTTTAATTGGTTGGTCTCCTGGCACAGACCTGACACCCCTATTGAAGGTGTGGTGGGCTATTTTTAATAATTGAGACAGGAATTTTAGACAAGACAGTTTTGAAAAATCACTTCCAAATTGTCCATTTCATTGTCAATGAGCCTACTTCCAATGCACTTAACCCTGCAATACATACTTATAGGTAACAAAAGTTACAAGTGTTGAGCTTTGGCTAACTCCAGACAGTTCATCTTGCCTCCTGTATACTCATGCAGTTGCACCATAACAGTTTTTTCTTGGATTATAGACACCAGCTCAGCAAATTTAACTAAACCATTCTGTTCAGTCATATAAAATAATAATAATAATAACATTCATTGTATGCTAACTTTGTTTCTGCTGGACATTAATATCTAAATACATGGAATTTATTAAAACTAGTGTTTGGGTTTTTACGTTTATTTTTTGATGAATTACAGTTATGGTTTGAAAGAGTGAATTTACACCCATGTGCTATATGCCGCGTCTTCATCTTCTTGAAATACCTTAGTGAATTGTTTCAGCTCATCGATTTTGTAGGATATAAGGACTATTTGTAGGTTCCAAACTCATGGGTCCTCCCTAAGTGCATCTGAGAAGAATGGTCAAATATCTAACCAGATTTGCTAATGCTGCTGCTTATCCATGTTGACTATAAGGAAAGGTCTAATTGGAAATGGTGTTATTATGGCCGGTGCATGACCTTATTCTCCAAATGCTTAAAGTGAACAGCAACTTTAAGAGGAGAAAAGCCCCAGGTCAGAGATCTTTGTAATTTCTAAGACTGAATTGGTCTCAGACTCTGCTGACAGGACCCTACGCTGAGTCAGCTCTGTCCTTTCTGTCCATGTTCGCCTCAGGACTAATGCAGTTTCATGCTGAGAATTTGCAGTTAGGAGGATAAATTGCTTATTTATTTAGCTGCCTGAGTGTGACATTGTGGGAAAGTTATTATTGCTACAGTGCAAAAGACAGATTGGCTGGTTCACTTTGTGGTCACCTCCAGTCTAACCGTCTACTCTGAAGGACACGATGAAAGTCCAGTCTCCAGCTTTGGCTGCTCATTTTATCAGGCAGTAATGTGGACGTATAGGTCAACCTGTGACCTTTGACACAACACCATTAGGGCAAATCGGTGCTCAAATCCCAACATTATTCATAATTTCACTGCCTGGCCAGCCCATAAACAGCAGGCAAAGGTTATAAAGGTAATTTCTGCCGTGTGCTTATATGCTGTGAGAGTTGATTAAGTTATTGTAATGTAGCTACAATGTCACATGGGTACTTCAGTTTTGGTTAGTGTTTTTTAGTGTAACCGCAGTGTTCAGCTGCTCTGAGAACCAGATTGATATCTCGTGTTAAGAAACTTGAAATATACAGAGCAAGCAGCTTTTTTGTGCAACCCAGATTGGTTTTGATCATTTGTATTCATGTCAGAAGAACGTCTTGTTTTACTTTGTAGACGATTCAATCTAGGCTCTAAGAAATTTCATTTTTGTTGTAAAGGTGTGGGGGGGGGGGCAAAGTCCTATTTGCTGCTCCAGATGGTTTCTAGGTGACAGGGTATCCAAGAATAAAAGCCAGGTCTTCACCATGTCGAATAAATATTGTATATACCTCCTCGGTAAAAACTACTAATATTAATATTTAACTTTTAATTTAAACACATAAATTTGTAATTTATTTTTAACAACTAGTAATGCATTTGCTTTCCTTTTTTAAAAAATAGGTCACTTGAATTTCTGTTTAAAACCACTGGTGGTTTATTTATTATGTGTGTTGTTATCTCATCACACTAACTACTAACTTCCCTTATGACTAATCTTAGAAGTGTGCTACAGGGTTGACGGCTATCTTGACTTCTCCTACTTCCTTAAAATTGATTTTTTTGAGTGCTTTTGAACATCGCTCCTCTTCTTCATGTCTCATGCAATGGCAACAATCTTTCTTTTCCTTATCATACTAGTGAATTTACAGTTTTCAGCTGGGAAACGGGGGATTGTTCCACCCATCTTCATCTCAGTCATATGTTCTCCAACAAGGGCTCTCAGTCTTTTTGTTAACAGAATACACTGGAAGATTAAAAGCACTGGAAGGAATAACCCCGAGACCCCGCAAATAACTTGAAAAAGCTTCAGAGCTGAAAAGAAAACCTCTTTCCTGAATATAAACCTGCAGACCACCAAACAATCAGCCAGAAGAAGAAGCAGCCTCCGCTCCAGCTGCAATTTAGAACTGTGGAAGAAAATTCACTCCACTTGGCTGGCATTTAGCTCTCGTTGACCCTGTTGTTGACTTTTTCCTTAATCCACCGCTTCCTCTTTTTATTATGTGGGGTTTTTTGGGCTGTGAGTCCTCAGCGTTTGTCAGTTCATTCCTACTTATCATATTTGATCTACTTGATGTTTGATTACTTGAAGGGAAGCGTTCTGTTGACTGCGTTTTTCTACCAGCCAGCATTAAATGAAAGTTTGCGGGCAAGAAGATCGTGGCATCCGTTTCATTTTGATATAAATCATTGCAGACGCCTTTTGTCTGGACAGTCTGTGTGTTAAAAAGAAATTCTCCTGCTTTTGTAAGAACCACCCACCTGTATTTTTTCTGAAAATTGTCATCGCCTGCAAGGAAATGTAAAAGAAAATTCAGCGTCCATTCCACATGACAGGCATTTTTTAAACGCTGTTTGTTGCACAAAACGTTTCAAGAAGCCTTCTGCACTGTGTAAAGAGGTTACATTCTTAGTAGAGGGGGAGGAAATAAAGGGGTTGTGGGTGGGGTGGTGCTGGGGTCTGGCAGTTACAGACCAATGGTTTTGAATCATGAAGTGTAAATAATACGTTTTCATAAAGCTAAAAAAAAATAAAAAATAGAAAAAAGAACCTTTTTGATAATGTTTTAAATGTATCTGTAAAAAAGGTGTAAATAAACTTCTGGGGTTAAAAAGGAGTGTAGACTATATATAAATTTATTTGTACACATGAGCACTGGGTTTCTTTAATATTTGATTGTAACTAAAAATTAATAATCTGCCAAAGTGTTTTTACTTTTTCTCCTGTCTGTTCCATTTGTTTTATTTTACCTTTTAACAGCGGACTGTAGTATTTAATTCTCTGTAATTTAGTTTGGTTGTATGTTTTTTTTTTTTTTTTTTTTTTTTTAAATGAGATGGGGGTTTTTTTATTTTTTTGGGGCTTTTTTTTTTGCTCCTTTATTTTTTCC